ATATGAGCCTAGAACAAGATTATTGTTATTGTAATTTATATATATTTCGTTGTATTTAATATATGTAATATATTTTTCTTTGTTTCGTGCTTTCAGTTTTGTATTTATTATCGAGTTGGTTAAGTGACATTTAATGTTTTTGTTTAGTTATTAAAAAGCTTTAACTGACCCCCCCCCCCCCCCCCCCCCGCCTCTGCAAATAACCTGTTGTGTCACGAGTCAAATATTTATCATGTTTCGCTCTAAAACGTTTAATGAGCATAAAGGGACGTGTGTCAATTATTCTTCAAGCCATACCAAAAAAATCTCCGTAGACTGCAGTAGAGAGGTGACAGGATGCCGAACCCGATCCACCCAACCACCTCTTCTCATGAATCCATTTACGCGCGATGACATGCATAAATTGATACTGTCCGACCGATGAATAAAATTAATTATCCCCCGATGATTAGCTCCGTACCCTTGGACGGTTTGAATGATTGAATCCGTATAAGAACGATAAAACCGTTTAAAATGAGGGCAATTATTCCATATTATGCAGCAAACGTTATAGATTGATCGTTATAATTACAAAACGTCGTATTAAAAATCCTCATACTAAATGAAATAAGATTCAATATCTATTATTTTCGAAGCAGGATGGCTGAATCGTTTGTTATGAGAGTTAGGTTATGATATACAATTGAAATGAATGAAGACACACACACACATGAACACACCAGGCGCGTACGCAGGATTTTTTCAAGGGGGGGGGGGGGATTAACATTTTTAAATCGGGCCCAAAATTTCGCACTGATTCAGCCAGCCGCTGAATAAGAGGGGGGGGGGGGGGGGGGGGGGGGGGGGGGGTAAGAGGACACTTTTTTGGGGGGGTCTCGAAATTTGAAAATCATTTTGCTCCATTGGGGGGGGGTAAGGTCAACTTTTTTAGGTCAGCCATTGGTATAATTTTATTTTATTTTTTATTTTTTTAATTAAAAAAAAAAATACCAAAGGGGGGGGGGGGGGTTCGTCAAAAATACACACATACAAAATACCAAAGGGGGGGGGTTAACCCCCGAACCCCCCCCCCCCCCCCCCCCCTGTGTACGCGCCTGGAACACACACATGTATATAATTTATATTTCATCATCATCACCAACATGCGTGATTAACATCTTAGGTACAAATCTAAGTTTACAATATGTAAAAGAATTTTTTATACAGAATCGGAAGATGACATAAGCTGAAATGAGCACAAATGCTAGTCGAGCCTGGACCCTCTCCAAAACTTATTCAACTTTAATCTGCGATAAAAAATAAAAACAGGTACAGTTGTTATCATGTTCATGTTTATATCACTATTTGTACCTTTTTCTCAACTGCGCCATGAGTATCACTATTTTAAACGATACTGGAGCATTGTAAGTGTTCGTATCATTATTATTATTATATAGACAGCAATATATTTGTCTTTATCGACTTTACAAAGGAATTTTTAGTGTTCCTGAAACGTCATCTTCTTTAGTTGCAGTACAGGCCTGGGTCAAGTGAATTTTCGTACTGTTGAGGTGCAGCGCAGATGTGTGTACAATGTCTGAGAAAAAGTACATTTAAGTTTGTGCGAGTAAAAACAACTACCGTTTTAGCGGAGTTGGGTCTTTTGTACCTTTTGCTTGAAGCTGTTAACAGAGGTACACTTAAAGGTGTTCTAAGTAAGGGCGTTCCAGAGTCTTATAGCATCCGGGAAGAAGCTCCTCTGGTAGACCAGCGCTTGGACAAAACTAACTATGATCTTCTTGGAATGCCCTTTGGCTCTGTGCAGGGATGTAGATGGAGTGAGGAAAGTGCGTAGCATGTCTATCAGCGAGTTGGTAATGCGATAGATCACTACCACCTAGCCTGTGCACTAGCTGTGTTCTTGTAATGTTGGCCACTTGAGCTTGTTCAGCATGGCTGATACGCTGCTTGTCATCAGATGGTCATTGATGATGAATATAAGAGAAGGTGATCGATAGAAAAAAAGAAACAAAGAATGACATAAGGAAAGACAAAAACAAAAAGTGATAGCATGATAAAAACAAAGAATAACATAAGAGAAGGTGATGAAAGGAAAAAGAAGAAATACATAAGGAAAGAGAAAATGATGAAGAATAGATAATGGAAAAATAGAAAGGAAGATGAAAGATGGACAAATAAAGAATAACATAAAAAACTGAAAAAGAAAACGATGAAAGGAAAACAAAGAATAACATGACGAACGATAGAAAGAGAAAAATGATCGAATAATAAAAAGAAAAATAACATAAGAAGTGAAAGAAGGAAAAATAAAGAATAACATAAAAACAACATAGAGAGAAAATTACAAATAATTGAAAATTAAAAGATAGAAAAGAAAATGAAAACTGGGAAAAAATACGTTTAGAAAAAAAATATTTAAAAAATGATAAAATGACAAAAAATAACAAAATATAGCAGAAGATGGAAAACGTTATTCGGTATTAAATTCCGTACGAAACATTTGACCCGCTGACCTTTGCTACCCCAGCAACAGGAGCGGTCTAGCTCGTTCGCGCTATACCCATCGAACTCAAACTATTTCGATGGCTATACCATACCGGGAGGGGGGGGTAATCAGATTTAGCTTGGACGGGGGTGTGCGCTCAAGCCTCGAAGCCCCTACCCATTTTTAAAGCCCATTTTTTTTTTTTACAATTTTCGGGTGTTTGCAATGCAAACACACACAAATTTTGGACATTTTGAAAAAGCGGACCCATGTTTAGGGGTGTTTTTGTTAAATGGGACCCATGTTTTAGTAAAAAAAAAAAAAAATGGTGATAAAGTGACCCATTAGAGCGGCGGGTCAATGTCGCTATTGATAAGGACCCCCATTAATAAGGACCGCCATTCATAAGGACCGCTGTTCATAATCAAAGAAGAGGGTCGGTATTATTCATGGTATGAGAAGATGAGGGTCGCAATTCATAATAAAAAATCGGGGTCGTCATTCAAAAGGGTCCCTATTCATTACACTAGTAAAAGGTCGCTATTGAGAATAGGAGAAGAGGGTCGCTATTTATAATAGGAGAAGAAGGTCGCTATTCATAATACGAAATGAGGGTTGATATTCATAATGTGAAATGATTGTCGCTATTCATAAGGGTCATTCTCAATCGAAGAAGATGGTCGCTATTCATAACAAAATGAAAACGAAATGAGTAATAAACAAAATAATAATAAGAAATCGAAATCCCCTAACGGATAGGGGACACCAACGGCTGTGGCTTGGCCGGGAGGACGCCACGTGGCCCCGAATTTTTGTAGAAAACATTTACTGAAAACAACTTGAAAACATGCATTTCTGAGAAGAAAAAAAGGCGTGCCCCAATAATGTACGTGAGTCATCATCCCGCCCCCCCCCCCCCCCAATCATCATATAGGCGAAGGCGGCGAGGGGACTGGGGATATTTTATAATTCAAATTCAAAATGTATTGCTTTAAATTCTCAATTTTGTTATAACATTGGATAACAAATTTCAAAATGATAGTGTAACATATATAGGCTAATTGAGTGTAAAAGTAAAGATGACAGTAACCAGGAATGACAACAATTACAGGGATAAGACATTTGATAATACATTTTACCTTTTTTCTTCTTCTTTCTTTCGCTTTTTTCTATTCAAATAAAATGGGAAAAAAGATATACGACATGATAATAAGACAATATATAACCAGAAATGACAAAAATTTACCTACAACTGCATGTCTCTACTGGCCTTTCAGGAATATAATATATATATGATTTATGATTGCCAACCTCTCCTACTAGATGACCCTGACAATAAGACCCTATTCTAAACTCGTGAGAGACAGTTAGCATGAGATGACAATATATCATGCTTTTTACAATACTAATTCCATTAAGATTAAAAATATGATGTGTTTTTTTCTTTCTAATATATATATAAATAATATATATATATATATATATATATATATATATATTCCTGTTCTCAATGTGTATGATAAGTTGACAGTCAGGTGGTATGTATATTTTCTCTGGCGTACTGATGGGGGAGGCTTGGGGGCAGTTGACCCTCCCCCCCCCCCCCCCAAAAAAAAAAAAAAAAAAAATCAAACGTGGTTTATTTTTAATTCGATACAAGTAATTACAAATGTTGCTGAAATGACATGATTTTCCTGTCTTTTCTCTCATTTTTGCCCATTATACCAGAGGCGGCATTCCCGGTGGGGGAGGGAGTTGCACTGTGCCACCCACTCTTTAAAGGTTCCCACAAAAGCCCCTTTTTACATAGGACAAGTGCCTCTTTTATTTTCTAATTACTGTCCTTTTCCTCTCTTTTCATCTCTGGTGATACGTCTTTTCAGCGACCCTCTACTCCTATTATGAATACTGACCCTCATTTCGTATTATGAACAGTGGTCCTTGTGATTTGACCCTCAATTGGCGATCCCGATTGTGTATTATGAATAGCGGACCTTCCCGTGAAAAAAGTACTGCAGTAGTATTACAGTACCCAGCTGAAGTACTTGTTTGAAGTGATTTTCTTCCATTCTCGAAAATTGTCTCACTCGACCTCCAATTGGTGATGCTTGATTAGAATTTGCAGTAAATTTGGTTATTGATAATAAATGGGAAGTGTTATTATGAGTAATGCCCCTCAAAGTGAATTATGAATAGCGATCGACCTTCATCTCACATTATGAATAGCAGTCCTTATGAATAACGGTCCTTATATCTTTATGAATAGTGACCCTCTTCTCCTATTATAAATAGTGGTCCTGCAGGTAGAGGAATTAAGTTCCACGTTATGAATAGCGGTCCTTATTAATATCGGTCCTTATGAATAACTGTCCTTAACAATAGCGACCAGACCCCAAAGCGGCACACCGATAATGTCTCGATATGTGAGTTTTCCTTTTTATTTTCTCTACTCAGCGAGACGGTAATTACTAGCGCCCTGTACTGTCAGATACGTACGCATATAGGCCTATACATGTACATTACGAACCAGCTAAAAACTCTACAAGATTTCTCCGTTAATTATTTATATTTTTACCTTGTTTTTGGAAACATTGATAATTAAGTGTCAAGATGGGGAAAAGACAACATCAGTCGGATAAGATGTGAGTATCAAGTCATTTTCTATTTTGGCTCAAGTTTCTACGATTCCCAGATGACTAGATCTCACTTACGCAAATCTTGGCTCAAAACGAAATGAGGTAGGCCTAGAATCTATGCCTTCGTGTTGTCATGATTGGGCTGTGCCGCGCCGCAGGCTCGGGGGCGAAGCCGAAGCCCGTCGCGTTGGGTTCACTGCACCCCATTGCATAGACCGAAAGCTTCAGTCTCTATAATCGTCGGTTGTTCCACTGAGACTACGTCTGGCTCCACTAGACCTCCGGTTATAGAGACTGAACGATCGCCTATACCATCGTATGTTGAAGATATCACGGCTAGATTTTAGCCGCTAGGCCCCTCCCACAAACATGACAAACTTGCCACGGCCGTATTGTTATGCCCCCCAAATCCCCCAAAATGTCATTTTACCTCGTGCATATCCAATTTTAAATTAGGCCTAGGCTATAATACATCGGTTCCACTTACTAACTTGATTGAAATAATCCGTTTAATGGTCCCTTTTAAGGAAATTATGGGTCAAAATCGACGTCCATGTTGAAAATCTTGCAAGCCGTGTTAAACTCTCGCTGCCGTCAATCTCATCCCTTCTAGTCTACGCCGAAGGCAAAATGATTATGAAGGAAAAACTGTGATAACGCCATTACGAACGTGTAGATGGCGCACAGTTTTTCCTTCATAATCATTTTGCCTTCGGCGTAGACTAGAAGGGATGAGATTGACGGCAGCGAGAGTTTAACACGGCTTGCAAGATTTTCAACATGGATGTCGATTTTGACCCATAATTTCCTTGAAAGGGACCATTAAACGGATTATTTCAATCAAGTTAGTAAGTGGAACCGATGTATTATAGCCTAGGCCTAATTTAAAATTGGATATGCACGAGGTAAAATGACATTTTTGGGGATTTTGGGGGCATAACAATACGGCCGTGGCAAGTTTGTCATGTTTGTGGGAGGGGCCTAGCGGCTAAAATCTAGCCGTGATATCTTCAACATACGATGGTATAGGCGATCGTTCAGTCTCTATAACCGGAGGTCTAGTGGAGCCAGACGTAGTCTCAGTGGAACAACCGACGATTATAGAGACTGAAGCTTTCGGTCTACCCATTGCATTGCTAGGGGGATTCATTCAGTAGTAGGGATCTTGGGAGGCCAATATTAAAATCTAAAATCTAAATTAGGCATTCCTGTATGTGAGGCTAGTTTTAAAAGAAAGCAAGGCGCTAGTTCAGAAGTCTAACCAAAAAATTACGGGTCAAATTTTGGCTAGGTTTCTAGACTTCTGAACTAGACCTAGACCTGATGCCGAAAGCAATTATCTTGGGCTTGGCGCTAGTTCAAAAGTCTATCCAGACTTTGACCCGGTACTCCGGTGTTGAGATACCCTACTAAAACATATTGAAAATCGACTAAATCTTCATCAATTGTTCAAAAAATGGTCATGATTTAAAAGTTATGTTTCTTACCTGTTTCGTGTCAATTTTCTTATCTTTTTGGAGTATTTTTCCTAAAAACAAAGACTTATAATAAACACTTTCTCACCGGATTCCGCAGCAAGCTGCTGCACAATATAATTGCATACTGTACCGATGATGGGATGGGCGCGCGCATGTGTTAAGTTAGCAACCGTGTTGATGAATTGCTTAGCATAGATTACAGTCGCTAACTTAACACACGCACGCGCCGCACCCTTTACTATACAATCAACTAGAACCTTAACTCCAGGAAGCTCAGCGTCGGAGCTTCAGTAAGTCAACCGTGGGGTTATTAAAACAGCCGATTAGGCGATATTATCTTTAAATCTGCAAAGGGAGTACTTAAAATTTTGACTTAATATAATAGCTAGGTTGCTCGACTCCTCTGAGCATCGGAATGACCTCTTGAAATTATAATTTGAAGAAGTTTTCGATGGGAAAAAGGGGGAGATTCTGAGTCCTACCCTAACAAATTTTCCATGTTGCAGCGTCGATTCAAAATGGCAAACAGAATGTACGCATGTGCGGTAGCGGCACAGAAAATATGAATATTCATGCTATAGAGCGCCGATCGCTCAAAATTGCTGAATATGCACGAGATTGAGAAGGGCTGAGGGTGTTTACATATACCGCACTGTTAGTTCGAGTCGTGCATACTGTATTCAGCAATTTCAAGCAATTTTTATGTTAATTCTTGTCATCTGAGAAAGTTGCTAGCTCCCTTAGATATTTTTGGTGTGCCCGAATGATTATACGAACCTTGATTATTTTGTGTTGATTATCTATATAAATTGTTGATATTAATTATAAAACCTAATTGTTTTATAGTGTGGTTTTTTCCTCATGAGATCGTAAAGTTAAAAGGTACAACCCCTGTCAGGGGAGTTCTACAAACTTTTTAAATAGAGACCCTAGAAATCCAACCAAAAACAAAGCAGTTACCATTAAAAATGGCTGGATATCAGTCTATACAGTACTCCAGTGATACATTTTGCATGATGTATGTATGATGTAAAGTTTATAAAACCTCATAGATGTATATTTGTATGTCTTTATTTTTTAGACATGTGCAAGACAACACAGATGTAAATAACACTTATTATTTCTCTAATGATAAAACAGGTATGTGACTTCTAAGGAGTGGTCAGCATTCTATGGAGGCAAGAAGAAAACTGGTAAGAGTGATATTAAACCTTTATCCAGGGCTCCACACTAATGTTATGGTCTGTATGCACAAGCCGTATATAATTGTCCCAGGCACGTGTAAGTGAAGAGCCCTGCTTTATCGTTCGTAGCCAGCATATTGGGGGGGGGGGGGTAAATTCATGTACAATATCATATGACTGCCTTAGACAATTTGCAACAAATGGATAGAAGTGTTTGTATTATATTGTGAATCAGCAGTGTTAAGTTAATTAATCATATCAAAATTTAAGTTAATTGTTTCTTTGTTAGACAAGTCCAAGATATTTTGTTTCTCTGTCTCTCAAAGGTTAGGCTATATCTAACCATTGGTATAAGAGATTACAGATCTTTCCTTAAGAATAGCAATGAAACTCAGTGTTTTTTAATATTATTTGTAACTTGGTAAAGACATGGGATGTACATCTATATAACATAAAATATCTTTAAAATTGCTCTGACATATATTTAAAATTGTTGGGTTAGTTTCAATTATATACCAACTACTGTAGAAGAGATGAAAACAATAGAAACAGGAGAAGGCACCGAAGAGTGTAACAAATATTTTTACTCATCTGATATATAAGAGTGAATTGAAGAGTACGTCAATTAATTTTTTTGTTAAGGGAGGTATCAAGATAACCCCCTTTTTTATTCTTTTTGTAATCCCTGTCTAACTCTGCCAAAGTAAATTTAAACGGGGCTTTGTAACATTGATAGCATTAAAGCTGAGAAAGGAATCAGTAAGAACTTTTTATGTTCAAACTTTCAATCAATTGAACCTGATAATGTCTTCTTTTTTGGGAGTGGGCTTTATAAAAATTATGAATTGCCTTTTCTTCATATTTTTTCGCAGATCCACAGAAGTCTGAGTTTCGCAGATTGCCCTTTGACCATTGCAGGTATGTGGTTTCATTTGGCTAATCCTTTGACTGTAAATCACTTTTCATGTCATTTTGTTAATGTACTTTGAATTATGAATTGTTTTTCACGCATGCATGCTCTGTTATAAATTAGGTTGAGGTTTAATCGTTGAGGCTTGTTTAAATAAAATTTGTAAAATTATGATGTAATAATCATACTATTTTATGAATATCTGTGACACTTTTCTTTTTTGACCAATAGTCTGTCGCTCCAGCCTTTTGAACACCCCTACTGTACTGTTGATGGTATCATCTTTGATCTGATGAGTATTGTTCCTTTTATCAAGAAGTACAAGGCCAATCCTATAACAGGACAGGTAAGACTACAACCTGTCATCTCAAAATGTATTCCCCTATTCTCAAACAGTTACCATCACATTGTTATGAAAAGATCTTAACCAGTAGAAAACCAAGGACATCTTAACTTTTTACTAATAAAAAAATGTAAATATTCTGTGACATATTAGCTCTCACTCAATCAAAATGCAATGATTTCATTAGCTTATGAAAAACCAATATATAAGCCTTATGAGGTTAATGAAGCCTAGCCCATGTCCTTTCAAATATTTGATATACTACATTCCACTTGTACAGGAGTACAAATGAACCTTATGGAAGTCTATGAAGAGCAATAATATCCTAGGTTGGTTTCAAATTCACCTAGTCTGATCTTTCAATTGAAATATATTAACAGGATTACTTTGCAGACTCTGGTTATTTTACAGTTACCATTATACTATGAGTTGGTAGAACTCTGTCCCTTTAATGGTTACCATTATACTATGAGTTTGTAGTAGTCTGTCCCTTTATCTGTAGCCATTATGCTATGAGTTTGTAGTAGTCTGTCCCTTTATCTGTTACCATCTTATTATGAGTTTGTAGTTGTCTGTCCCTTTAATGTAACCATTATACTATGAGTTCGAAGTTGTCTGTCCTTTATCTGTAACCATTATACTATGAGTTTGTAGTAGTCTGTCCCTTTATCTGTTACCATCTTATTATGAGTTTGTAGTTGTCTGTCCCTTTAATGTAACCATTATACTATGAGTTCGTAGTTGTCTGTCCTTTGAATGTAACCATTATACTATGAGTCCGTAGTTGTCTGTCCTTTGAATGTAACCATTATACTACGAGTTCCTAGTCATCTGTCCCTTTAACTGTTACCATTATGAATTTTCCCGTTAATGTAACCATTTTACTATCCAACATGCAGGCCCTAGATGCAAAGTCTCTCATCAAGCTTAATTTCCATAAGAACACTGATGGTAAGTGCATTGGTCCATTGATATTATTATCATCAATGTGGGATGCCTTCTTAATTACGCAATATTTGGCTTTTAAGCAAACTTACTACCCGTATTTCCTACCTATGTTGCATTTGTATGTGTTTGTTCAAAACTCCAAAAATCATAACCTGGAAAATTGATTTGAATTGTGAGATTACTCCTTATACATTATGAATTGTTCTTCTTTCAGGAAAGTACCACTGTCCAGTGACGTTCAAGGTATTCAATGAGAATACTCATATTGTTGCTGTCAAAACAACTGGCAACGTATATTGCTATGAAGTGAGTATTTAGTTCATGTTGGCCTGTAAGGGTAGTTATTAAACTATATTTGAGAAATGGTAAATCAAGGTTACATGTGGCTGTGCACGATGAGTTAAATAAACAATGTTTTTCTAAAGCTATGGTCACAAATCAGAACAGCGACCGACCGATCAGTAGCCTGCTCGGTCGCTGCTGGAATTAAGCATCGCCCAGCAATTAGGTCGGTGCCCGGGCGGCGACCGTCCAGGCACCGAGCGTATTTTGGGCGGCGAGTGAAAAATGAGCAGGCGCCGCCCAAATTTTAACTCCGCGCTAAAACTTCAGCGGCGACCGAGCGATGCCCTAAAAACGAGCGGTGCCTGGGCGGCCGCCGCTCGGTGGCCGGGCAGCCGCCGGGCAGAATTGGTTAAAAACTCGCCGCTCGGCCGCCGAGCAGCCTACTTTTGGGTAATGTGACCATAGCATAAGTTGGTGATAGAGGATTGGATTTTTTTTTATACAGTGCCTGTGTAAAACATATTAGCAATAACTAAATCTAGGGTGCATGCATGTTTAAATATTTTCTTTATAGAAAATAGAAATCTATGTAGTTTTAGTATAGAGCGAATGGGAGAGGACCATGTAAGATGTACATGTAGTACATCACAGAGTTGACAATTTGTGTTTGATATGATTTCAACTTTAACAAATCCACTATTTTTTTTTTTTTTTATCAGATTTTGTTCGAACCTTCTCTATTTGTTTCTCTGATTTTTTTCTGCCTGTCAAAACTAACTTAATAGCAGGGTAGACTTCCCCTTTTACAAACAATATGAATTATTTCCCCTGGGTAGACTCATGTATCAATAATGTTCTCCATGTGGGCAATGCAATTATTGTATTATTATCCTACCTTTATGACGATGATTCTTTTTGGCCTCAACACCAACAACAACAGTTGACCTTACTTTAGAACAAATCATGAAATATTGATATTTTGTTTTAACAACAGATAATGCCAATTAATGTCATATATATATATCTAAAAAATTAAAAATCTAAAGAGAATAAAGAATTGATCTTTAAAAATCCATAAAGGAATTCATTTCTAATCAGATGTAATTACTCACCAAATATATGCTCCTATACCGGCTGTATATGCCACACAAATTATTGACTAATCTGCGATCAAATTAGTGTGTATTTAATGCATATAATAGGGAGCATAATTATCAAACAACAAAAGTTCAGCTTTTGACTCAGATTTTATACGATAATGAAATTTATGATTTTTACTTTATGTAAGTTTTGGTTTTGAATCTTGGAGACCAGCAAATACCAGTAAGAATCAATTAAATTTGTAAGAATAAGAACATTTGAATCTTACTGATTTCTTGCATGTAGAGTCATTCTTTGAAGTCTATTAGGTTTAAACTGGAATATAGGCTTATTCATCAAAATTGTTCATGTTATGAATTAGGCTATTGAACAGCTGAATATCAAAGCTAAGAACTGGAAAGATTTGCTGACTGATGAAACCTTCAAACGATCTGATCTCATCACCATCCAAGATCCAGGCCAGCTGGACAAGTTCAACATCTCTGCATTCCATCACATAAAAAACAACCTGAAAGTGGAAGATGAAGGTAAGCATTGACTGGGGGAGGAAGGAAGGCAGGCAACAAAGGAGGGAGTGAAGGAGAGAGGTAACAAGGTAGAGAGAGGGAGGGGGAAGGAAGGGGGAAAGGGAGGGAGGGGAGAGAAAATGGGAGGGAGAGAGTGGAAGATGAAGGTTAGCACTCACTGAGAGAGGGAGGAAGGCGACAAAGGAAGGAGAGAGGGAGGTAACAAGGAAAGGAGAGAGAGAGGCGGAGAGAAAGGGGGGAAGGGAGGGAGGGAGGGGAGAGAAGGTGGAAGGGAGAGAGTGGAAGATGAAGGTTAGCACTCACTGAGAGAGGGAGGAAGGCGACAAAGGAAGGATAGAGGGTGGGAGGGAGTAAAGGAGAGAGGGAGGTAACAAGGAAGGGAGAGAGAGGCGGAGAGAAAGGGGGAAGGGAGGGAGGGAGGGGAGAGAAGGTGGAAGGGAGAGAGTGGAAGATGAAGGTTAGCACTCACTGAGAGAGGGAGGAAGGCGACAAAGGAAGGATAGAGAGTGGGAGGGAGGGAAGGAGGGAGGAAGGTAACAAGGGAGGGAGAGAGGGGGAAGGAAGGGAGGGAGGGGAGAGAAGGTGGGAGGGAGGGACTGGAAGATCTAGTTAGCACTCACTGAGGAAGGAAGGCAGCAAATGAGTGATAGAGAGTGGGAGGGAGTGAAGGAGAGAGGTAACAAGGTAGGGAGAGAGAGGGGGAAGGAAGGGAGGGAGGGGAGAGAAGGTGGGAGGGAAAGAGAGGTAGGGATGGAGAGAGAGAAAAGAAATAGGGAGTGGATGTGTGTATGAGAGTGAGAAAGTGAGGTGATGGGAAGAAGTGTTAGAAAGAGAGTTACACAATAAGGGAAAACAAAACAGAGAAGATGGTGCAAACTTCAGACAGAATTTGAAGATGGCAGGACAGGAAACAAAATACATATTAGAAACAGGTAGAATATGAGCTCAAACTTAAATAGTCCATGGGTGTAGGGGAATCGTTGAGTGGTCACAGTAACAAATTTAGAATCTAAGATATTGATGATTAGGGCATTGTGTCTTTATGTAGTATCACTTGACTATTAATGCTTTATTTGTTTTATGCCTTACAGCTGAGAAGAAAGCCAGGAAAGACCCAAAGTATACTCTCAATAAGACCAATGTTGAGACAGAAGACATCTTAGGAACACTCTACAAAGAATACCAGCCTATGGTAATGCATCATTTGATATCATTTCCCTACTACAAATATACCAGTATTCAACATTATAACAGAATGATATGTGTAGCATGCATGTACATGTAGCTTCTCAGTGCAGTTCTGTAGTCTTAGCTATATTTTCATTATAAGCAAGCAGTCAGGGAATAAAACTGATTTAAGTAAAGAGTTTTAAAGTACAAGGACTTTAATAGTGAGGTAATGTAGATATTACAAGATTCCCAGCTATCATGGAATCGGGGTAAAACTGGTAGATTAGTTACCCTTTTTCCAGTTTGTAAAAATCATGCACATCAGGGGAAATCTAGGAGTTTTAATTGGCCCTACATTATTTGTCAGTCTCTTTATATGTATCTTGTACATACAGCTTATGATGGTTGGCCATCTAGTGATCCTGGTATTTTGAAACTCCAGTTTAAAAATCATAATAATTAGGGAATTTCATTCTCATGAAAAATTGAAAACCGTGTATAATTCTTCTTATTAGATGTGTGCTAGTACATGTAACACATCTTAATCAGATAAAGGAAACTCTAAAAGAAATCAGATAAAGGAAACTCTAAAAGAAATCACATTAAAAAACTATAGAAGGAGATCAGTGAAAGTTTTTTTTTAAATTGGACAAACAAGAAGAAAGTTTTGAAATTTTGAAAGTTGTTTTTTGCTATATCTACGTAAGGGAATTTCAAATTGGCTGAAACAATAATGTCATTATAATGTAGTGGAGGGCTACTCCATTTGTTATAATACTCTAAATTGCTATTAATGTCAGTTTTTCAATATGTATGATTCCACAGGGTCCTGTCTTTTTAGAGGATCTATAAATAAGATGCTGTTCGTTATATTTATTTTGGTATTACCCCAATGGAGAAGATGTTTAGGAGAAAAACGGAAATTAATGATATGACAAACGGGAGAGTTGTCCATGACTATGTCACAATCTGCTAACCAAAATGCCAATTTAAGATTTGCTCAGATGTTTTTATTTCATTTCACATTTCAAACTTTCTTGTCATTGATCTGATATCTTTTAAACTTTGGCCATTCTGTTTCTCTTATTTTTCTGCTTCCATACAAATGAACTGTTTACAAAGGTTTGATTGCCCTTTCAGAGTAAAAGAGAAAGCAATAGGCAAACATTTTATACTATTGTCCTATGTGAATTGCTACCCAAATTGTATTATTTATAAAGAATCATTTCAATAAATGATGTATTGATTTTGATTTTCCTTCATCTATTTGTATTCATCTCACTCCTCAGGATGGGAAAGAAGAAAAGAAACAGAGAGCAGATAAACTCAATTCTGTGAGTATTTCATCCCATATGATTCATTTTAGTTAATTCAAAGCCTAGAATTGACCAGTCTTTCAGCAGAGTTGGTTTTGTGCCTTCATGATCCAACATACATGTATGCTCTATGTTTAGTGTTGGTGCTCCCTGCAAACAATTAAACCTGTTGGTGTTGTCTTGATCCAACAATTGCTTTTTGGGCACAGTGTGTTTTCAGTTGACACCTTATAGTTGTGTCAAGCTGTCACTATTCGTCCTTTGATTTAAAGGGAGTGTAGCATGATGAGACTACATGTTTTTCCCGTGGCCTGACTCAGGGCCAACCGGGTATAATACGACTATGGATGACGCGACCGCAGTTTTCACGTACGTGCACCATACTCGAACAGAAGCATGAGGAGAACTAAGGTTTGTTTCACGAACACTAACGCGCGCTGACCGTTAATCAAGTCCATTCGTTTACGTGCAGTTGTCCAAAAGAAGTTGTAGATGGAGTCAACCAGTATTTGCCATGCTACACCCCCGTTTATTTGAGGACACATATATAGGGTTTGGGTTGCTAATAAGTTATAGGTGTGATGTAGGGTTATGATAACATGGAGGGTTTGAATTTAACAATACTATCTGTGCTTGAGTCTAGATCACTATAAAGCAAAAGAGGAGTAATGCAAACCGAGCGCCCAAGGCTAGCAAAGTTTTTTAAATAAACTAGTATTGTTTAGTATGTTTACATGATGACTTTGTCTCATCTGTTATTTCTTTATTTTGATTTGTTGTATTAGTCCATTTGGCAAGCATACACTGATATTGATTGTGTGTATTGCTGTGACAGCTGTATAAAAATACAAAAAATCAGTCAATTTTGCTTTTGCTTTCCTTGATTATCTTAGTATCTATTAAGTGAATACTTCAGATAATATGACAGTTGAGATTATCTTAATGAAAAAAAGAGATTTGTATTATTTTTTAGGCACACTACAGTACAGGTATGGTTGCAGCAGGCTTCACTTCAACAGCTATGGCTCCTCAAACCACTCATGAAGCAGGTTAGTCAATATTATTTTCCTCTATTTTCCACAAACCATTCAGAAGATACTAGGTAATTCTATGCTGTGGCTCATTAAAAACAAATAATATGATGTTCATGCAATCCTACTTTAATATACTGTAAATGTTTTTCCAGTGCTTGATGGTGACACTCTTTTCATTGTAACTAACTGCTTCTAACATATATGTCATGAGGAAATCAGGTTAATTTAAAGATTTTATTTAATTACATTGAATATGAATAATAATGAGTTGAACTTGTATACCTTTGTTCCCATGTAGCTGTGATTGATGAAGACATCATTCGATATGAGCGGGTGAAGAAGAAAGGTTATGTTAGGATGAATACCAACAAAGGAACACTCAACATTGAACTCAGATGTGATCTGGTAAGTCATTAAACATTGTCGTAAAGGAACTTGCATACTGAAACAGGGAAAAAACTAATTTAGTATGCACTATGCAGGAATATTTAGATAAGATATATTTGTTCTACCTCTGAATGCCATAGACGAGACTAAGGGTAGTGCTGTAGCCGAACCGCCGAACCGAACCAAACCATACCGAACGCAAAGGCCTGGTTCGGATGTTCGGCAGAAAAATGTAAACGTTTTCGCAAGCTAATAAACTAGTCATTTTGTACCTAATTTTCATGTCATGATTGCTCATTTTATATTTACTTTTTTCCCATTTTCCGCCTTTGTGATTTATGCCTATCAAGTGGTGGGCGCGACTTCACTGGCGCCATTTAAATACAAATCCTGACCTCTGTTATGTCACGATCGCAGGCCTTAAACAACAATACATGTTCATGATCTAGGCGCTGATCAAAACAAGTTCAGCTCAAACCCATTCAACAACAAAAACAATATTTTAATTGTAACAATATCAGAGAAATTTTACAATATAAATAATGAAATAAATATATATTATAGTATGGTATTTATTTATTCAGGAAAAATAGGGATTTTATATTTTTCCTATTGAAAATAAACACTTATAAAAAACAGTAATCGACGCACTTGAGTCGCTATTTAAGATGGCAGCTTTCATGACTCTAACATTAGACAACAACCGTCTCGGAAAATCTTTAAAAAATATCATTTATTGACAAATTGAAAACATGATTCTTTTAAAGTAGATATTCATTGATTTTAAAAACTAACTTAATTTTTATTATTGCAAAGTTGAAACTTTGATTCGACAAGCTTATCAAAATTCAATGCTTGAAAGCATTCAAAATAATGATTATCATAACTTACAAAACGCTTAAATACAGCCCCGGCATAGCACCTGAAGAGCTCTCCGAACGCTGCTGAGATGTGTGAGATCACAGTATGGACATGATTTGCACAAGCAGACGATGTCCCATGACATCTCACACATTTTCAGTGCCTGTGTTTTCATCTTCTCTTGAGTTCTTTCTCTTACTTCAGTACCGTCGGGCTAAATGTATAATCTATTGCCTCACTCTAATCCCCGCACATGTTTTTATTTTGATGACAAATGCAGCGATACAAAAATAAAGGAATCTGTCGCTTGTAAACAAAATAAGACGCCATTGTATATTCAGCTGCACACACCCCAGTATGTTCGGCGTTTCAAGAGGGAACAAATGCCATCCTTAATATCATTCCGGGGGGTTTTCAATTTGAAAGTCTGGTTTCTTTGATTGTTAATTAACCCCTATCCTGTGTATTTACAAGCAAAAGATTTTAGTTATCAGAATCGGGTCATATCCCCTTTTGAATGGTTTGACATGCCATTACATGTATATAAACTGAACTCATTATAATTTGACAAATAATAGCTTTGCACTTATGTTCATTCTTTATGGGGTGTCGTCTGCTTGGGCAGTGTTGGTTCATATAGTGACGTCATTAAACATCATTATTTTTCTGGCGAATCTCTCGTGTATCCCAGCTGCTATGGAGGTGGTTGTATTTGTATTTTTATAAATCACCCGATATGTAGTTGACCTTAAACTTGTACGATGGCCATCTGTTAGCTTACCAGTTTCTAGTGAAACATTAGTTGACATATTTGTGATTTTCTTTGAATTTCACCTTTAAAATTGCAAATAAAACACGATTCAAGACGGAAATACGAATGTAAGTAGTACTTTTCTTCGCAAATATTTACGTTTAGAGCAGTTTTTTTATGTGAAATTCATGCTGGTCGGAAGCAGTCTTTTTCATCGGGAGTGGGCAAAAGTCTTCCGTGCTGGTCGGGCCCATCCGGCCGGCCCGCCCAGTGCCGACTGCCGTGGCTATTAAACGCTGCTTGCTATTATATTACCGAACCCGAACCAAACCAAGTTCGGGTGAAAAATTGCCGAACTCTGCCGAACCGAACCGAACACGAAGATAGCGTCTGACTTACAGCACTAACTAAGGGTGGTTTATATAAATTTAACAATCTAATTTTACATGTACAAAGCTACGTTCTCTCTCTTGTCTTTCCTCTTTGCCATCCAGTATGATGTACATTTAGTTTATGTCTGCTACCCAAAATAAACAGTTTTTATCTGGAATTTTTAACAATTGATGAATAATTGATTTTAGATGTTTGCTGTGACTTATTCTATTTATATGCTATATGACATTGATTGTTGTCATGTACATTTTCTGCTATTTATTTAAGTTAGTATTGTCTGTTGGGAGCCAGGGGAGTACAAATTCAAATAATTCCCGTGGCTCTACACAGAGAGGTTAAATTATATTACATTGTTATGTTGTTTATGTTATTTGTAGTTACTGTCTATGATATGTTAATGTATTGTTATATTTTATACAAATGTGAGCTGTAAAACGATTTTTATGCCTTCATTTTATTTTGTGCATGACAATAAAGAAATTCAATTCAACATATACATGTATGTAATGGAAGGATTTGATTAACCAATGAAAGGTACTCATTAAAAGTGCAATGTGATTTATATCTTGACTACTATAGGTAACTAAGACATGTGAAAACTTTATTCAGCTGTGTGCAAAAGGCTACTACAATGGCACAAAATTCCACAGACTAATCAAGAACTTTATGGTAAGTAATAACTCACTCATTTTTTCTACTGCTGGATCAAAACATGTATCATTTAGATAAATCTGGATGTCACTTATAAATCAGGATGGACTGCTTCAAAAGTGAATATTCAATATCTCACTCCTCTGATCTCCCTCTGATCTCCCTCTGATCTGAGGCATGTCATTTTCAGGTTACATTGGACCGTCTATCATTATGATGATTGATAACTGAGCCACCAGTAATTGCCATTTAATTAAGTTTCACTGAATTAAGCTTTTAGATTGGTTTTAAATATATTCCATGGAAATGAACTTCACAATGATGTGGTGTGTTTTTTGGGGGGGGAAGGGGGAGGCAGCCATTCTGAGTCTCAACACATTATTAAAAACTTTAAATTTTGGTCGGAAGTGGTTACAGTTTACGTTAGTATGCATCATCATCATCCACCCCTTTTAGTGTTTGAACAGAAGTATGGCACTGCATGGTAAACTGTAAATCATCATTGATTCATTTTAGTGTTTGAACAGAAGTATGGCACTGCTGGTATACTGTGAATCATCTTCATCAACATGAGAAGAAGTCATGTAATTACAATAAATATAGGTCCAAAGTCAATATATGTGGATTTTGTAAACATGTATCTATTTTTCGTGTTATATTATCTCAAGATCAATTTGGCATGAATTGTAAAGTTGATGACATTATGCAGCAACATCAGTAGTATAGTTGGCCTGATTAGGATATCTGGGATCACTTGCGCTTTAGTGTTCTCTTAACTTATTATACAATAAGACGATGATACTCAAATTGTATAAAACACAACAGAAGTTGTTACTGTTTCTGTTTACCAATATTTTTTACTGAACAGATTCAAGGAGGAGATCCCACAGGAACTGGAACTGGTAAGTTACTCTAAGCTCTGTTACATGTACATGTGACTAATAATCAACCACTAAATTTTGACCCATTTATTATTGTTAAAATATATAAACACTCATGTTGAGCTTTTTATTTCATAATGGATAAACATTTCAATGTATATGTATGAGTTGTATTAAATTGTATCACTCACCTTTTGTGTACAGCAAAAATGAAATGAAATTTAATAGCTTTACCCGGCATTATCTGAGGAAACAGATAAGAAGTTTGAATAAAATAAAGAATAACATAAGCCCCAAGTCAGACCTGGGTTCTGTGTGGGCCTTATTCTATGAAAGTGTGTACAGCTGCATTGAGTAGTCTACTCACAAGTTGCTTTTTTAACTGCTATACTGTACAGTTATTTATGTATTGTATTTATTTAATGTAGGTGGGGAATCAATCTGGGAAAAGCCATTTGAAGATGATTTCAAGCCTAATCTGAGCCACACAGGAAGAGGTATCCTCAGTATGGCTAACTCAGGTCCCAACACAAACAAGTCACAATTGTAAGTACAACCATCAAACCACAGTCTCTAATGTTTTATAGATTGTCTGAAGTCCCAAGCATTGTCCAATAACTTACAATTCATATTACATCTGTAGTATAGGTTCACTAATCTACATGTATGCAAACGGGGGGGGGGGGGGGGGGGGGGGGGGGGGGGGGGAACACTCCATACATGACTGGCTACACACCCGCATCGAGAAAATGTGTTAAAAGGGTGTCTTTTTCAGTTATATGGCGTTGTTTACGTTTTCCTTAAAATAGGGTGTTTTTCAAGCACTAATCGCTCAAAAACCAATAAAAGGGTACATTTTCAGGTTCACAGTTTTCAGAAAATGTGCGATACATACCGATACACCATTAGGGTAATTTCAGACAAGGCGTGATACGCCATTAGGGTCCATTTCAGAGGTTGATGCACTCGAGTGGGTAGCACCTGTTGATGAGAGACCCCCCCCCCCCCCCCCCCCCCCCTCCGATGTAAAACTTCATAATTCAAATTATAGACTCAAATTGAATGACATGACAAAATCATCCGGTCTATCTCCCACAAGTCGATGTCTGTCACGTGTGAACCTCTGAAGTCAATGGTGATAAAAATGTCTCAATTTTCTACATTGACTTGCTTGTGTTGATTCACTCTATTTTTCAATTTGTTGAGGTCTAATAATCGCCCAAGTCGATGAAATTCTCAGAACAATTATAAAGAAAAAGCACTGAATTCATATCACAAAAGTCAAATGTCACTGATGTGTAATTTATCACTGTCAAAGCACTCACCACACACCGATTTTGTTTCCACAATACACTCCTGTAATCAAGACTTGCTGATGCGCACTCCTCTGTTCTTGTCTCTCCCTCTCTCTCGTACTGGCCTCTTTCCCATACCCCTTCCCCTCTCTCCCTCTCTCTCTCTCTCACACTCTCTGTCTATCCCCTGATAATTTCCCTTCGATTCAGACTTCTGGCAAATGCCACAAAGTAAACTGTGTTGATCAAAAGTAACTTGGGATAGGATAGAGATAAAGAAGTTATACAATTATCAAGACAAACATAATCATAAAGAAAGAAAATGGAAGTGTGAGGAAATGATCATAGACAATAAAATGGAATAAAAAGAAACATACAAAAGGAGAGATAAGGGAGATTGAATAGAAGAATTAATGGAAGCATACAGGAGGAGAAGATGAAGTAAAGAAAGGCATAGAGCAATATCATTCATTAGTGTTTTTATTTTTACTTTATTTTTCACTTTACTCTTTGTCTTATTTTCCTACTAAAGTAGCTCCCCCTTTTTTTTCTTCAAAAATACTTGTGTCCCCTGCCATCGCCCCCTCCATGACCTCATTTCAACAAAGCAGAGTTATCACACAAGGGCACTACACTCCCATTTTATACAAGCAGATAAGTCTAGTTCATGTCTGGTTTTTATTCATATTTATCTTCAAAGTTGTAACAGGTGGGTGAAATCGTACACTGTGTACATAAAGGTCTGTTCCTATTTTCCTGATGTCTGTACAACAATTTAAACCACGGCATGCGACAAAACTAATCCCAATGAAGCCACCAGCCACGCCAAGGCACAGCTTTCCCCATTGAAGTGAGGCTTAGGGACGACATACATGTAAATGTGCGTATATGTGAGTCATATATCTATGCCTTATGCACAAGTCAGAGTCGATGCATTGAACTTTAATAGTCTGTCAAGATCAATTTATGCGAGGTTGAATGTATGTTCTATCCAGGAAAAAGATTTTGTAAAAATTAGGATAGTAATATGTCGATATAACGCATATCATGTATGATGTGATTTATCTCTGTGCTTCCATAACCCATATGTACCCAGGCTGTATGTACCCCATCTTTGGCTCTGGCAACCATAGCTCTCAATGCAGTCAAGGATTAAATCCTAACTACACCTGGATTCAATATCGCATATGTACATGTAGTACTGTGGCAGGGATTCAAACCCTGTATCTGAGACTTATCTACTAGACCGCAACACCTCTATATTGTACCGGTAATGGAAATTGTGAATTCTTGTTATTGTTTACAGCTTCATCACATTCAGATCCTGCAAATACTTGGATGAAAAGCACACCATATTTGGAAGGTAAGCTTATGAAAGCTCCCATTTTTCCATGCAATTATGTCAGGATAAAATAATCACATGATGAAGTTGAGATATTAGAGTGAAAGCATTTTTTAATTAATATTTTGGAATTTATATATAATTGTATGATTATACTCGCACTTTAAGTTTTTGAAGAGATGACATCAGGGTTTTGTATTAAGGTCTTTGGAATTGCCTAATGGCTAATTTCATTGATTTGTGTCATGCGATGGGATGAATGGAGATTCGGATATAAAAGTATAATTTAACAAAGGAATCATTTTCTTTGTAAAATGATATTACATGGTTTTATGTAGCTAAGGTAAGTGGCAACATTTCTTTTTCATTTAATGTATTGGGGAGAAAGGCATCAGAGATAAAGTATGGATACTATCATCAAATTTAGTGTGTGGGACTACTCTTAGCGTTCATAGATTCCATCCTGTTGCATCTGAATTCTGTCTTGTCATACCTGGAAAAAAACAGATTGTGATGGGACAGAAACAAAAGTAAATACAGCACATTTTAAGATAGAAGAGAATTGATTTTGAAGACATGATTGCTTGTTTTTGTTATTGTTAATCACAATGAATCTGTGTGTTTGGTTTGTTACAGCGTTGTTGGTGGTCTTGATACACTCACTAATATGGAAAAGATAGAGACTGATAAGAAAGACAGACCATTAGAGGACATTGTGATTCAAGACACAGTTGTATTTGTCAACCCATATGAAGAGGTGGACAAAGAGGTAATTATCATCTGAGGGAGACCTGCCAGCTTGCTATCATTATTATATTCTATTTTTTAACACTTATTGTAAATATATCCTGTCAAAATGTAAATGACATCATCTGTAGGATACAATCAAAGGCATATTCTCCAATGCCTTCTAATTCATTGTATAATTAGATACATGTATTTCATCTTACAAGCACATGTGTGTTATGTTGTATCATACAAAAATCATATTACTGAACGGGGCTTCTCTCGAGTGTGCACTCAGGATTTGCCAGCTCTCATTTTAATTCACCTCTTCAAAATCATATTTTTGTATATTTTTTTATATGACGTTTCTTTATTTGATATTACTTCATATGACGTTTCTTTGTACAATATTTATATAATATTGACTGGCCTTGAGGGGTATATCAGAAATATTGACCAAGCTCAGATCATATTGCCCCGAGTCGAAAGACGAGGGCAATATGGTCTTAGCGCGGTCAATATTTCTGATATCCCCCGAAAGTAAAGCCAGTCAATATTTTTATTGTTATCCAAATCAGACATCTAGAGCAAATACAGACATCCACCATGACAATCTCAAGAACTGAACAAACTTTGTCAAACCAACACTTTGCATCCAGTGCTTGACAAAATTTTTGATACACTACAAACAGTGTGTATTTGGTTTGATTATTACGTCACAATACAGTGCGCGCAAAGTGCGCAGGTTCTCGTACGCATAATATTAATAGATGCGCAATGAAAATGCGAGACCGTGGAAAATACCAAGGTATATTTTCACTCGTCTCTACACGCAAAGTCAATACGCGCAGGGAGACCAAGGAAAATACAAAGAATATACCCCTCAGTTCCCACTGCTAGTGAAAACTAGGGCAATACGGTTTTGTAAATGACCAGCTCAGATGTCTGATACGGGTAATAATCCTTTATATTGCGTTTCTTTAAACAATATTCCTTTATATAATGTTTCTGTATACAATATTCCTTTATATTACGTTTCTTTATACAATATTTTTGTTGTTTTAGATTTCAGAGGAGAGATTAAAGCTGAAAGTAGAAGAAGAGACCAAAGAAAAGAAAGCACCCCAGTCTAGAGCAGTAAAACCAGGAACCTCAGACAAGCCTAGGGTTTATAGGGCAGGAGTTGGCAAGTACTTGGCTCAAACATCAATGGAGAGTACTAATGCCAGGTCAATATTCTTATCAATATTTACATTTTTAATTGCTTATATACCATTTAGGGTGTAAACAAGTGAAACATTGTATAATACAGATTTTTATGCCTCCGCTACAAAGTAGCTGGAGGCATTATGTTTTCTGGTTGTCCGTCCGTCTGTACGTACCGTTCTATACGTATCTTGCAAAGCCAATGAACTGATTAGATTTTGGGGTCCCAAAGTCAAAGGTCACAGGGCTCAATATGTATGAAAGACAGCTTGTGATCGCATTTTCTCAAGGACTGATTGATGGATTACCACCAAACTTGGGTTATGTATGTATGTAGCTTGTGAAAGCATCATGTTTGTACTTTCATACACTATATATTATCGTTTGTATCGTTGTGTCATTATCTATGTATAATGTATAAGAATTGTATTCATAAGTCATGCATTGATATTTATACTTTTATGTTTGTTTGTACTCTCATACCCCGAGAGGGGGTCAAAGAGTCAATAAAAATTCTACTAATTCGAATTCTACAGATAGAATCGAGGGATGTATTACTATCAAACTCAAGACGTCTGTATTTTGCAGAACAATGAACTGATTAGATTTTAGGGTCATAGGGTCAAAGATCAAATGGTCTTACATGTATATGAAAAATAGCATGTAATCACAATATTCTGAGAACCCGTTAATGGATTACAATCAAACTTGAATTTTAAAAAATTGCTTCTGTTTTCGTTTGAAAATCGCTCTATGACGAAGGCATCATTTTAGACTGCGCGCAGTGGTTAACATTGAGTACTCAGTAGATGTGTTGTCAAATGGTTATTTACTTGACTGGAAATGCAAAGTTTATTTACTTGAATCAATGGCAAGGCACTTATGTCAATGTGCAAGACATTTTGATACTCACCCAATTTCTCTGTTCTTTAGATTGACATTATAGAACACTTGAAATCATGCCTCAATACTTACCAGTACCTATTTCAGCTAATGTAAAAATGCTGACTTCTTTGGAGAAAAAAATATGTCACTATATCCATTTTTGTAAATCATTACCATCATACTTCTCTCCGCCCATTTGTTAAAGAGTACTAATCACCCCCCCCCCCCAAAAAAAAAGGTATATGTTTATCTAGAGTGTTTAAAATCAACCTTAAAACCATTACAGGGCATCCTATCCTGTACTTTGAAAATAAAGTTTATTAGGATTCAATATTTATTTGCAAAAGGTGCAAATTAGATTGTTATATTATCATATAATCATATTTAACCATAATTATGAAAGTGATGATCATAATGATATATCTTTTTGCAACAGAGATCAATATACATGTACCAGTAAGTGAATAATGTCTTTGGACAAGGATTCACCTTTTTATCAAAATCAAATTAATGAAAGACAATTAAATATTCCCTTTTCTCTTCTGAAACAATTACTATAGATCTTTAGATCTTACAGACATTCAGTAAACCAATAGGAATATATTCTACCACAAAACTACCAAAGTTATAAGTAGATGAATTGCTCTGCTTGGTATCTTTGTCAAGTCATTGAATCACTATCTCAATACAAATAACTTTCATTTCAATTTAGCAAAGTTTGTTTTAATGTTCACTATTTAAGGCCTTCAACAAGTTCAGCTTCAGATCTACCAAGCTCAAACAGTGGTGGAGTTACAAAGAGACCAGGAGAAGGAGAAAGGAGTTACCAAGCCGACAAGAAAAGGGTCAAAAGTTCAACGAGTTTGAATGACTTCAGTGCTTGGTAATCGGGTAGGATTAAAGCTATGTTCTATTTCATGGATTGAGGTTAGGAGACTAGGATGAGGTAACATTAGTTGGCTCCAGGCTAACTGGTCTTATTTTACTAATTTTTATTCTTTACTGCTTTTAAATGTTCAATATCCCTGTTGCCCGAAGAAGAAAAATGGATTAGGGTTATGGTTAACCTAGTATTGGATCAGCACTGTACAGCACACAGTACAGTACAGGATCAAATGTGAGCATGTTGTATTAAAGTTACATGAAATATAAGCTTTAAAAGACATTCCACAAGATTTTCAGTGTATAATTATGTGCATAAAATCAGCATTTACATTGAAAAAAAATGGGCCAATACCCATTGTCGAGATGGCAGGGGGCATACACCAAGAATAAACACATAATTAAAAAAAGAATATTCTCACGTCAGTAAATGTTCCTCAGGTGATGAAAAAATGCCCCTCTTGTGATGGAAAATGTGCACATTCTCAGGTGAAAATTGCTATTTTGATAATTTTCTGCCTTGTAATTCCCCTATGCTGGGTTCCCTGGTCATGGGCAAACTGTGGAAGTCATGAAAGTATAGCCTTCTGGAAATTCAAATGTCACTGCTAGGGCCCGTTTCTTTGATGAAAATCTCAATGACTTGAAGTATGATTTAATAAATCATTGGAAAATGAAGAAATGTGTATCTCATGACATACCAGTATTTCATCAAGTGATTCTTTTTTCTAGTAAGAATTACACAAAAGCAATGAATTATCAACAAAATATAGATTCCCATGGAAAAAAAAGTGAATAAAAGCATAGTGGTGATCCTGAAATATTGATGTGTTACTTGAATGAAAATACTACATTATGTATGAGTAAAGGAATGCTTATTGCCTAATGAATAATATTTCAATATTCATCACTACAAACAAGGGTCAGATTTTGTAGAATACTGGCATAATTTACCAAACCTGTAACCTCCTCATCCTGCTTGGGTTGATATTTTTGGAGAGTAGATTGCCTTTTTTTAAGCATAACTGCCTCCTTTAAATTGTACAATATGGTGGATTCACAATCCACAGCACCATTTAAGCGGTACCAGTGTTTATTCAATTACATGTGATGCATCACTGGAAAACATTGACATTGTATCAACTGTGGCTAGGCTTGGTAATAAACCTTGGCCTAGGAGATAAGGGGATTTAATCAATTTTTGGTCGGGAGGATTTGAAAAGTTTAACCGGGTAAAAATAAATTTGTGCTGAATAAAAAAAATGTCAGTCTTTTCTTACCCGCTCAAAACATTATGGCCACTTTTTGGCCAGAACTGACCATTATGGTTACTTTTGGTCATGGATAATTTTTCCAATCGTTATTATCAGCTAAGGAGAATGGAGGGGTCAATTACTTAATTCAATGTAAAAATGTGCCCTGAAGGCCCCTGATGCTACAAAAACAACAGTATGGTAATTTGTGTTACTTGTTTTCCAAAAGAAAACCCATTTGTATTGAGTTTTGTCTAAAATCTTGCCAAACTTTTGAGGCATAATAGATCGATTGGTTAGTCTTGACATCCAAATTCAATATAAAAATGTGCGCTGATATCAGAATCAATTGATCTCATTAAGTGAATTTTCCACAGTTCTGACCGCTGTGGTCATTTCTATTGGTGGCTAGCATTTCGCTTTGCTGCACTAGTTGAAAGGTGTCAACCTGCAAAATGAAAAATTGGCCTGTCGCGGCTTGCCAGTGGGGGCACTGTTAATTGTTGTTAAGCTGGTTTTAACTTGAATGCTGATTTCTACTCTACATTTTGATACCAAATTGTTGTAATGCCACACATCTGATCATAACTAAAATGTGGGTGATTGCGAAAGATCATGTCTGATTACAGGTGTACCAAAAAATTTTCAGGAAAGTCTATATACATCTTACAGCGTCATTAGACGGACATATGTAATGAGAAAATGAGTCATTATGTAGACATGGTCATTAGCAGGACATTTTCATGTCCTGTTAACGATTGAACAATAGAATTACTGTCCTCTACGTACGTTTGCAGGCGAGGAAACTTTATAGGCCTCCCAAGAAACAATAGGTTTAATCATTAGTTTAATTAGTTATATTGTTTTGAATTTAGGGTTAGGGTGATATACCAGTTTTTATGATGTCCTTTTAATGTACCATTTAGGGTTATATACAGTTAATGTACCATGTAAGGTTATATTTATATATATGTATATACAATCAAACCTGATTATTAAGGCCATCCAAGAGGAACACATACAGTGACCACTGTCTACAGGTAGCCTTGTTAGACAGGTTCTCCATCACACATTTATATCTAGAGGGAGGCAACATGGGTGACCACTATAAGCAGGTTGCCTTTATAAAGTAGTGGCCACTAAGGCAGGTGTAACTGTATATATGTCATATACATGTAGTTTTGCAATCTCGTTTTTCGACAACTCTCTGTTTCTATTCCTTAACATTAACTCCATGCTCTCAATTAACAGGAGGTACTCATTTTTCTGCCGGTACATTTTCCAACATTTTGTAATTCCTAGACACAAATTCCTCTACCAGGGTGCCCATAATAAGTAGGGTTTATAAATGCTGTATAATTCAAAATATTTTATGCATTAGTACGAAGATTCATTATTCTATAGGTTGCTTTCACAAATGTCATACCAGTAATTCAGAATTTTTGCAATTTCGAAAATGAAATCGGATTTACTTTCCCGAAAATTGAAAAGGGTTCATATTTCAGAAAATAAAATTGGGCTCATAATTCCAAAAATGCGAAGGGTGGTCTTATCCAGGGGTAAAATGAGAGAGTGTTAAGATTTAGGATCAATACACCTTCTGAATAATGAACCTTCAATCTTTCCTAAAAATTCTTATTCAATATTATTGTATTTTTAAATGATTCAGTTGACCTGTTTTTATGAGGTGTTAAAAAGATTGTTTCACTTTCCCCTTAAAGTCATGACTTAATGTGTGATAAAATGATATGTTTTTATTAGACAGTTTAGTGATTAATGTAAGGAGTGATGATTGTGGATATTACCAGGTTGAATAAATGTACAGATATATGATTGCTGAATAAATTCATTTGTGGATACATGAGTGATAATAGACAATGAATGACATTCTCAGCTGTATGCTGTTGTGTTTTTATGATGGGTGGAGGGGTGACACGTATAAGTATCTGGAATTGTAAAATATCCATAGAATAAGCCAAACTAAATTGTTCTATTTTATCCATAACATTAATATATTTGTGGACGTCGAGACATCTTGCAGGTGAAAATATATAATATTGGATACAAATACAACACTCAGGATTATAGAATGATTACATAAAATACATGTATTGATATCACAGCCTTCTACATTACACCTAATAATACTTACAAATCACTGTACATTCATTGACAACTTGATTTTGAAAAATTTGAAATACTCTCACAGTGTTTTAAAACATGTTATATGAAATGTTTAGATAATACTAAAAAGACATTTACATCACGTCTGATACAAAACACAGTATATGTTACAAACAATTTACTAATTACATTTTGGTTTCTCCTTTATCAGTATTAAATGTTTCAGAAATCTGTAGATTTACAGTTTAATTGAGAGTTTAACAGATTGACTGAATGAAATATATGTGTGTAATTTCTAAACGTGAGAGTTGTTCAAGATTCTTTTTTTACAATTCCTGCTCATTGAAATGTGTAATAATCTGAATAACAGAGTATTACTGTAAACTGAATTAACAACTGAATCTATTACACAGTTATGTAATACCATTTAATGGCTGGCAAGCGTTAAAACATGATTGGAGTAAAAACCTAAGATATATGTAGGTAGGGGAAGTATACTACAGTAACTTATATAAATCATATTTAAATTATGAACACAAATTTAAATCTAGCAATGAGGTTTGTGGAGATACCTCCAAATATGGAACCAAACAATTTTTTCTCTTCACTGTCATGACATTGGGTATGAACACAAAAGTATGAACACAAATTTAAATCTAGCAATGAGGTTTGTGGAGATACCTCAAAATATGGAACCAAACAATTTTTTCTCTTCACTGTCATGACATTGGGTAATTTTCCTCATTTATCTTAAGCATGTACATGTACATATACTTATGCTATGGTCACATTAACCAAAAGTAGCCTGCTCGGCGGCCGAGCGGCGAGTTTTTAACCAATTCTGCCCGGCGGCTGCCCGGCCACCGAGCGGCGGCCGCCCAGGCACCGCTCGTTTTTAGGGCATCGCTCGGTCGCCGCTGAAGTTTTAGCGCGGAGTTAAAATTTGGGCGGCGCCTGCTCGCTTTTCACTCGCCGCCCAAAATACGCTCGGTGCCTGGGCGGTCGCCGCCCGGCACCGACCTAATTGCTGGGCGATGCCTAAATTCCAGCAGCGACCGAGCAGGCTACTGATCGGTCGGTCGCTGCTCAGATTTGTGACCATAGCTATACCTGTACATGAGGACTACAATCATAAAGTATAACATCATTATTATTTTGTCGTTGTGCATCCTTCTCTTTTGTTTTCTCACAAAACATTTCAAGTAAAATTTATCAAAACTATAGGTTTTCTTAAAATCTGCTTGATAACATCTGGAAACACTAATGAACAGAATGTACAAACAGATCATCACAAGCATGTATAGAGGAGAGAGTAGTTCCTATAATCATTCAATATTACATGTAGTACATAATGATAATAATATGTCATCTATATAGGTACAGTTGTTTATACAGAGTGATTTCACATCTTAATTTATGTATCACAATTCTTAGAGAAAAGAGAATTCTTACTGCAAGGAGTGATGAATATCATGTACAATTTATACCTTTATGACAGGTGATCAAATGATTAAATAATGAGGAGTGCATTTTTATGTACAAAATGAAGTACCATACTTGAATTAAATCAACATTAAACTTATGGAAAATGTTTACAAATATTTTTGTCTCATTTATATGCTTTTGATTTATAACATAATACATTAGCATAGGTTGATGTCCTAAATCTACAAAGGTATAGTTTGTGTTCTTCAAAGACAGATTGCAGATAAACTACTTGATGTATCCAAAAGTCATCATTTACATCTACATTGAAATATATTTATGCATGAATTGGGAGTTTATAATTATAGTAATTCATTTTTATTCAGATTTACAGCAGGCGGAGTATACAAATAGAGTGAGAGACAGTGCAACCTTTGTATAGGCTCAAGAAATGATTTGGCTGACCATTATTGAAAGAATAATGGAAACATGAGAATTTCTTGTACTTGTGACTCTTAAAGCCCCACTGTCCTACTTGTAGCTACTTGCTCCCTCTATATAGAAAACTTCCCAATCAGTGCCTGTTGGTCCCCCATGATCCCCTTGTTCTTATGTTAGTTGAGAGCTGAGTTAATGAGATAGCCACCTGTCAGTGACCTCACTGTGTGGTCTAATCCCTTCTGGCCCAGTAGTATTGACGGTCTTTAAAGTGTGGCGTGTCTGCACACATGTACAAGACATTAAAACCATCAATATCCAACAGTACAGAACCTGTACTTGGAGTTCACATATTTTGATTCAGTAATTGTATTTCTGGTCTGTTGTGTTAAATCATCCAATTGTTAACATCAATATTGGTCTTTTCATTTGAAAGAAAGGTCTGTATAACAGGAATGGAGAGTCACTATGTTCGAAAGTGTTAACTTTCAGTCATCTTGTAATGCAAGACTGTTAACAAAATGGCTGCTAAACAATGCCACTGACACAACAGAAAGACAAGTAATCAACGATTCTGCATAACTTTACAGAGAAAGAATACACAACAGATGACCATGTCGACCATCAAAAGAGTATCAGCAAGTTATCAAGCTAAGTTCAAACCTCAATGTTTAAAAGACAGGTAGACACATTTGTATATACTTAGTTGACCAGACCCACCTCCTCGAGACCTTGTTATTGCGACTATTTTGGTTAACAAACATTATACAAACTTATACTTCATTTATGTACAATATATATGAATTCTAACATTAAAAAATCCTTTATCCGATATCAATTGAATCGGTATTTAAGAGTTCACTCCCTCATTAACACCATATCAAATACTGAATGTGTAGCTAAATCACAGATTTTGTTTTTTATTTGCTAAAAGGCCTACTATTAAACAAGCTATGTGAATGATTATAGTTTTCGTTTGATAACAAAAAAACAAAAGCTGGATAGTTAGACACTGCTTTCAATACAACTTTGTAAATTTGTTATTATATCACCTATATGAAAATGAAAAGATATTGGAGACATGATGGCATATTATGCTTGTTTCTACTAACATAGATATTGCTTGGGTAGGATGTGGAAGAAACATTGGTACAATAGGTATTAATTCTACATCCAAAGTACAGTTGCTTTGGTCGACACCAGTCGCTCTCTTTACATTCATCATAACTTTCACTATAAAGTTACTACAAAAAACATAACACTTGATGTATAGTATATACACAATCTTATCGGAACATTGGAAAGATAACACTATGTACACTGTGGGAAATTTAATTTCTTGTGCTATGATATTGAGTGAGAAAAACAAAATAAGTGACAATCATCATGAGCTTTTGTCATTGTTCAGCTAAACATTGTCTTACATAATTACCTTGTATATCATGATGTGTTATATACTAGTGTATCACATTCCTGAAATACATTACTTTGCTATAGCACATTGGGGATCCTCACTTCCAGTTGAAAAAGAAAGCAAGAGAACTACCTATTCATGTACCTGACTTACCTTTGTTAATGTACATCCTTCAAACATGTGTGTCACTTTTAATTTAGAGAGAAAGCCATAGGAATACTCTGTTGGCTATTAAACAACATCACCGAACCACAAGTTACTCCCACTTATACTCCTTAAAGTATTATATACAAAACGGACCTTTAACCTTATAAGTCCCCTCAGACCAGAGTTACTGGCTTACATGTTGCCTCTAGTACCATGCCATTCATTCTGCTTTCCTGTTCTGCTGTGTACATGTTGCTTTCATAGCCAAAAGGGCGTGGCTGTTTCACATACAGGTTCTTCATGATACGCTATATGAATGAAGCAAACAAAGTCAACCATAGTCAGTAGCCATAAACAACATTAGTAAAAAAACAATACTCAATGAAATACATGTTATATGTGATATTACTGAACATAACCGTAGTCAATATCCATTTTCCATAACCATAATCAATGAACTCAGTCAATACCCATTGCCAATAACCATAATCAATAACCCTAGTCAATAATAATTGTCAATAAATGTAGTCAGTAACAATGGTCAATAACCTTAGTCAATAACAATTTTTAGTATCTATAGTCAATAGCCATAGTCAAATATCCTTAGTCAATAATCATAGTAACCGTAGTAATTGGCACATTGCGAAACTGCATCTTGGTCTATACAGTGCGTCCCAGAAAAAACGAAACCGAGAATTATCGATGTTTTATCATAACTTAATCACATTTATAATTGATAAATGACACATATTTGGAAAGCTTAGATCCTCCTCTTTCATCTGATGCAACTCATATAATACATAATATTTCACGCATGAGTGATTAAAATGAATTTGAAGAGAGGAAACCAAAAAGTCATTTGGCGGACGGTATCTGAATTTCAAAAAGAAAATCGCATTCCTAGACAGCTGAGTTTCTGCCCTTTCATATGGCACCTCAATCAGGAAAAATGAGCAAGGAATGACAAAGTTCTGTTTGTTTAAAGTAGTGCTTGCATTTCCATAATTTTATCAAACGAATTCGTTTGCACTGGGTGCCTGCCGTAGCAAAAAACAGAGTTAACAAAAGACTTAACTCCATTTCGTTGACAATCAGCCATAAACGAAAGCAAGCATGGCTGATTGTCAACGAAACGGAGTTAAGTCTGTTGTCAATTCTGCATGTTGCTATGGCAGGCACCCAGTGAAGACGAATTTGTTTAATAAAATTATGGAAATGCAAGCACTACTTTGAACAAACAGAACTTTGTCATTCCTTGCTCATTTTTCCTGATTGAGGTGTCATATAAAAGGGCAGAACCTCAACTTTCTAGAAATGTGATTTCCTCTTAAAAATTCAGATACCGTCCGCCAAATGACTTTTTGGTTTCCTCTCTTCAAACTCATTTTAATCACTCATGCGTGAAATATGTATTATATGAGTCGCATCAAATGAAAGAAGAGGATCTAAGCTTTCCAAATATGTGTCATTGAGTAATTATAAATGTAACGAAGTTATGTTAAAACATCGATAATTCTCGGTTTCGTTTTTTCTGGGACGCACTGTCTAGTCAAATTGTTTACATGAATGGATAATGAAATACATGTAATACGGATATTTTTTGTAATCCTACATACGATTTACAGATTGATTCAAAGTTGTTCACCTAATGATCATCAAATCCTATCATATCACATTTCCGATCCTGCCCTGTCTTACCAAACTTGACACATGTAACTGATAGGAGCATTGAACTAACCTCACTAATTGATCCAGGTGTTGTGATTATTTGGTAGGCAGCTACGATGGGTATCATTGAGATGGATGTACACGATATCAACCAACCAACTGCTACTGCCCATTCGGGGTAATCATAGTCATCCAGAGTAAAGGGTTTGTAGTTTGCCAGACCAAAGCCTATGATGAACTAAATAGATAATGGGGTAAGGACGATAGGCAATATAAAACAGTGCAGTATTTTTAATATTATTCTGTACTACTGACAGACCCTATACCGCCATTAGAATACTGTACAGAGTGGACCTCAAAAATAACAGGCAGGCATACTTCCAATAGTGTGGGGTCGACTTCACTGGTACCAGCGGAAGGAGAATGTTTTCACATAATAAATGATACCAAGATTGACAAATTCGGTAGAGGGGTTTTTGTTTTAGGGAGCAATTTGTGCAGCAAAGTAGGAGTTCAAATTTGTCCAGTATCAATTAAACTGTATTTTTTTAATCGTATACTTTCATGTCTATAATTTACAAGTCATTAAAAACGTCTGAAAGAAGAAACTATATCTGTGGAATGTTATAGTCAAGTTAAATCTGATATTTCTTACAACCTGCCCAAAATAAGTCTTTTTGTCTGCAACATTGCGTCTAGAAGAAGACAAAAAAATCGTCCATTTTTGAGAAATTCAAAATCTTTTTTATTCTAAAATGATTCCTCATCAACTGGTACCAGTGAAATTTGCTTCGCATTAAATATTTGAGGTATGCTAGTCCATTTTGTATAGGCCACCCTGTAAAGTTAAATATGCTTGATGTATTAATCATCATCCAACAACAACAAAATGTGATAGGTTGCTCATGAACATCCTTTCACAATAATTTGTGCTCACATTTCTAAAATCACCTTAATAAACTAGGATCTTCCCTCTTTATGCACCTCATACATGATATTGTAAGCTATCAACATTTTAACAGAGTCACAAAAATGAATCTAATATAATCATCAATGGAGATTTTTAAAAAAACACAACTTACATTATCACCGGGGCAAAGAGCGTGTAATAAACTTACTATGATCATAACAGGGCTAAGGAACATGTGATAATCTTACTATGATCATAAGGGGGATAAGGAACATGCGATAATCTTACTATGATCATTATGGGGTTAAGGACATGTGATAAACTTACTATGATCATAAGGGGGGTAAGGAACATGCGATAATCTTACTTCGATCATAAAAGGGCTGAAGAACATGTGATAAACTTACTATGATCATAACAGGGCTAAGGAACATCCAACAGAACCGCCAATAAAATCCTGGCTTGTATCCGCACATCTCTTCTATGTCTCGAGAAATTTTCTCAGTTGGTGTTGTGAAACCTGGATGCAAAATATAGAACATTTAGGCAGGGATATATCCCTGGTTTAGGGGTTTGCATTTATACTGGAATTAATGCTCTCATCTGAAAAAGATTATCCCTGAAACATGGACTTATTAAGCATATTTCTTTTTATAGCCAGTTAACACTGCCCCCCCCCCCCCGGGGGGGGGGGGGTCGGGGCTAAAAGGAAGAGATCAATATGACTTATACGAAGATACGTTGTATACACTAGCATGTCCAGGTGAGGGCTGTAGCCCCCTTCATTCGCTGACCCCCCCCCCCCCCCCCAAAAAAAAAAAAATAATAAATAAATAAATAAATAAATAAATAATAAATAAAAAATACACCACACACAAAATATATATATATATATATATATATAAAATAATAATAATAACAATAACAATAATAATCATAATAATAATAATAATAATAATAATTATAATTATAACTATAATTATAATAATAATAATATATACATATATATAAAATTAAAGGGAAGACAACAACAAGACAAACAAGGTGTTTGAACACCTAAAACATCCCCCTGTATGCCAAGGGGGTGTTTGAACACTCCCACCCCCCCCCCCCCCCCCCTCCAATCGATACGCCAATGGTACCCGGTAGTATGCGATGACGGTCATTTGATTAGAACGTGAACGAAATGTTTCCCGCGGGAGAGGTGAGTTCGCTCTGTAAAGTGCACAATCGTATGAATAGAATCTAGCGACCGGGGTACTGTGAGTGCTTACTTAGTTTACGGTGTTTCCGACAAATTTAACGACATAAGAATAAAAAATGAATGGAAATAATGAGAAGGGGAAAGTAAGGGTATTACCATACAACCATGCCACCGCCAGTGTCTCAAACAAAACCACGAACAATATGGCGTAGTAAGCTGCACAGTTGTCGAATAGATTCACCAGATACGTGCCACCCTGTAAAAAGTGGTAAATTAATTGTTGTTTATTGTTATTCATTTGATTTAGTATAATAACTTGTATACATCTGAAAATATTCTCAAGGTGTTTGTGCATAATACATAATTTCATATTTACTTACCTTTTTTATAAACAAAAAAACAAACAAAAAAATCTTATTTCTATATACACAAGATATGAAATTCATGTCTGGAACATATTACTTCCATTATTGATTTGATTTGATCATTACCAACATGTAATGTGAATATGTACAACGAATAGAAATACAACATACTTAGACTTATTTTAGTAATTTTAAGGAACCAACAAAATAGCATGATTCTATTCGAGGTTACTCTTATCAACATATATTTGGTATTAAAATTATTTTATGTATAGACATTGTTGCTTTATTACAAGCATATTGCCTTCCACATTAATGAACCATTATAATTCAAAATGTTGGTCAAAGATTTGGTTAATTAAGGTTACCGGTACATACGAACCTGGGATGTAAATGCTAAACCAATCAAAAAGTAGATTGCGAAGAGGAAAGCGATGAAGATCTCACGATGTTTCTTTACCACCTTAGGAAACTGATCACCAAGACCTGTTAAGATTGCTTCTGATCCTCCAAACTTGAATACAAAACACAAACAAAATAACATTTCATCAATGGTGTATAATGCATAAAATATTTATTATGAGATTGAAATGAACCGTCTATGGTATTTCAATGCTAAAAGTGTTAAGTATCACATTGAAATCAACTGTCTAGATAGATAAATAGATTCTTTTATTGACCCATATTGTAATAAACGAAATATTGGAATTTTGGAAAAGAGGATGTCGGACCAGTTTCATTTAGCTATACCCCTAGCGGCACCAACGATCCTGAACAGAAACGAAACTCGTGGCTTTTGTCCAGCGTTGTGACCGTCTCTAAAGGATCCCGGGCCCCGGAACACAAAGGTTTTCAATCAATTATAAAATGGTAACTGACCAATCAAGATCATCGTTTCAAGCATATTATTGTTATTAAGGCTGACTATTAACCAATCAAATAGCGGACAAGGTGCGATGCAGATGAGCACGGACAAGCTTGAACCCAACGATTGGGATGGTAATACATGGCAGATAGGCCAATCGCTCAGAGACGTAGGGTAGATGTATTATTATAGAATAAACACAAAGACGACGAATATTACCGAGCTGTCGAGACCAAGTGTAAGAAGCATGAGGAAGAAGAGAACAGACCACACGTTCGCACCAGGCATAGTAGCCAATGCTTCAGGATACGTCACAAATACAAGCCCAGGTCCTTGTGATATAAAAAAAAAACAACAAGCGTTAAGAATGCTAACATATCGAATTGTTTAAAACAAACAATGGCACCTGGAATTTATTTCAAAATGTGTTTGATTACTCGTCTGCATGAAATACAATACTATGACAAACCTATAGGTTATTAAACGAATGAGTTTTTTCCATGTATACATGGAAAAAACTCATTCGTTTAATAGCCTTTTCCGATAAGCTAGTCCTTATTAGATACCCTCATGGAATAAACTCATTTGTTGAATAGCCTGACATCATAAGATGGGCCGTAATAGATACCCGCATAAAAGGACGCCATGCAACAATTAACCTGACTTCATCAACAGGCCATAAAAGGATTCCTTGGTTATTGTTAGAGTTAGGTTTTAGGTAAGGATAAGGGTTGGTGTAGTGTGTGGTCCAGTGTGGAAGCACATGTAAGCACAAGCACAAGTTGTTTCTTAAAGGCCCTGGCCTATAATATATTCTGTATTTATGACTTGTAGTTGTTTTAATGATGCCAATTAAAACTGAATTGAATTGAATATAGGAGCGATTGTCGAAGGAGCATGTGTCACACTGTCATTGGTTATACCAATCATTTGCTTTTCTTCACATCAGTAAAGTCGCTCTAAGCACGAAATGGATTTGATATTGCAAATCAGGTTGAGTAAATTTAAATGCAATTAATTTGTCAGATTTGGCGGCAGTTTTTTTGTTTCATTGTGGAATGTATGTACATTGATTCTCAAGATGGCTTGTGAGCTGATCGATATATATCTTACATTAGAAACAAATCATTCATGGATAGTTACAGTCACAGTTCAGAGGTTTTCGTACTTTTTCACATTATGTGGCACATCTATGGAATGTAGATTTGTTCCTCTTTTTTGCATGTTATGTATTTCATAACTTATTCTTTAATATTCTATGAATCCTCTCCGTCTCTTTCAAATACCGTGCATATGTTATGAAACAGATGGGTATGACATTTACACTCTATGCTATGTTTGAAGACCAAGATTATGATTATGTCCTCCCTTAGAGGAGTTTTAATGCCATGTTTCTCAATGTCCGGACACGCCATGGGGACAGTAATTATGCATCAATAAGGGAATAGTATGAGGTAATGTGAACTTTGACTTTAAACTGCACTGTGATGATCAGCAACATAAAGATACCTTCTGTGGCTACTTCATCGATGGACTGGTTGTTACGCTTTGCCATGTATCCCAAAACAGCAAACACCACAAACCCAGCCAGGAAACTTGTACAGCAATTGATAGTACTCGTCAGCAATGCATCTCTATATCACAATACGAATATGAGCAGGAAAAAAAACACTTAATAAGAATTGATGAGAAATTCAAGAACAAAATCAGTTCAGCATTCTTTCTTTATGTTTTTTTGAAAAGGATAAACTCATTCATGCGTGAACACACAAACTTATAATTGTAGTCTTGCAAGTCTGCACTGCCTTGCGAGACTCTGCTAGTTCAAACTTTCAGTTCGATGTGAATGTCTTAGTAGAATTAAGCTGGTGCCTCGATGTTTTAAATCTACATTATTTCAGTAGTTGGTTTTACTGCATTTTGTGATTTAAGGTATATATAAACAATAATTTAAGTATTCGTAAGGTGAAGAAATGACACCATTTCAGGCAGTAATGGCAACCCCAATGCGCCTCTGCCGTTTCCATGGTTTCATTTTTGGGTTAGCCAAAGTGTAGAACTTGGTGGTCCAACATTCAGCAGATTTCTGCAACCAAACTACCTGGCTAGCCGCACATTTAAATATCGTCGCTAGCAATCAGGGAATATGGTAAACAAAATTCATTAACTCTGACGTCACAGATAAAAGGGGTTGATCTACTATTAGAAATATGTTTGATCATCCGATCATAAAAACGGAATAAAGTAAAGCTCGAAATAGAGACTATAGAAGAAGTTTAAATAAGTACACATTCCAAATACAGATCATTGTGTCTGCAATATTAAAATTAAACCCTTGAAAAGTTTCGTGTGTTCAGTCCTCAATAGGTTCTACCATTGTGCCAACTTTGAAGGAAAATGCAATTGCCATTCTTGAGATATGTCTTCCACAAAAAATGACAAATGTACAGTAAATAAACAAAGAAATGACGAATATAAGAGGTGATATGTACAATAATACGTACCCCCTTATTTACAAAAACCTCTCAAATAAGAAAAGACAACCCAAATTCTATCTAGCCGTGTCACAGATTCCTTTTCTAAGTCCAGACATCTTCCCATCTGAGACGTGTACTGGAAGACTGGAAAATAGCTGCGAGGTAATGTCAGACAACTGGTATGCGCCCTCTCACCGAAACTGGACAACAAAACTATTACACAGTCATATACAAATAGCATTTGGATGTGCCAAAGAACAATTTTCTAATAATTCGTACCATCCTCATGAAATTATTCAGCAAACTCACAAACTCTTTTTCACCTTCACCACAAATTAGCATTCTCTTTACACGTCATTATAAATGTTTTTCAGTCATGAAGAATATACAGTATCTACAAAAATATATATAAGAATGTATTACGGGACCACTCACTTGTAGATGTTATTGTTGAATCTGTTGTAACTTGAAAGAGCTAGAAGAACACCAAAGCCAGGACCAAGAGAGAAACAGATCTGTGTCGCAGCATCAACCCATACCTACAATATCATACATTCATTACATCCAATTATTATCTCAATGTCAATTTATTTCGATGATTTTCTCTTTACCCTCTTGCACAAACACTATATACATTCTTGAACTCCAAGTAAAACTCTATGCTACTTTTCTTAATATATATTAAAAATCAGATATTTCAAACTATGAATCAATTTATAGGTGTAATCCCCAGCTCCTAAAAAGAAAACAAAATACAAAAAGAATAAAATTTCTCTTATGATAAATTAACGATTATATCATTTGCTTATTCTATAAAGTTCTTTTTTTTTAGTCTACTACAATCGATTTGTGTACAATATTGTTAATCCAAATTCTTATTTCAATATGACAATAAAGGGCTAAAGTTCATATAGATACAGTCTTAGTTATTTAATCAAGGGAAAAGGCCAAAGGCCCTTAGCCTACAATGTGCTAATATCAAACTCATAAATGGCGGAAACTTTTTTGGAATGTATTACTAACTTACGTTAAGTTTAAGTCTAAATTTATAACAGATAAAAGGAACTCCGCAACTCATTTTTTGTATTTGCTTTACTTTTCTCTTTGTTCCCAAGTACATATTTCATTTTTTGGATATAGTATATTATTATTTGTATTATTATTATTATTATTTTGCAGTATGAGATACTACTAGACTGTAAGGGTTAACCAACTGAAGCCGTGACAAATTAATCTATTTTAGCGATGAGATAATACTTGATTTTAAGGTTCCACTTATAAAGCTACATTGTAAGGGTTTACTTACCGAAGCAGTGATAATATGATCTCATTTAGCCACGATATAATAATTGATTGTAAGGTTTCATTTGCTGTATGATTTAATATTTGATTTTAATGCCTACCGCACACTAAACGGTCTTCTGGTAATTATATTAGATTTGGCAATCTAGATAAAAGTATCTACCCGATTTAAGTTCTTAATTATGATTAGAAAAATAAACAGTAATTTAAGTGCATTAAAGCCTTCTCGTCAGAATAAAAACCAATCGTAGACAATCGTTGAAAATCGCACTATACTGGTCTGACGTTTTTGCGAATCTGAGCCTATTTCGCTTTTCTTCCTCCAAGAAAGCTTGCAGTCCCTTGAAATTTAGATTTTACTAATCATATGACTATTCAGATCCTCGATCATTAAGGTTTATTACATGTTAATGTTTACATCAAATAATTGCAAATTCTTCCAAAATCGGATCGTAGTCACATCGTGTAGTGTGCAACGGACCTAACGTGCTGTATGAGATCGTTGTAAAGGTTTACTTATAAACTTGATTATCAGGGTTTACTTACTGAAGCCGTTAGAAGACGGTCCCATTTCGGGATGAGATAATACTTGATCCCATCACCAGCACCAGGTAGAGTAACACCACGGATGAGCAGACAGAACAATACCACGTATGGGAGAGTAGCTGTGATCCACACAACCTAGGTACAGAAAAACAATAATAATAATACTCAGCTTTTACATTGCTCGGATTACAATTATGTATCTAAGCGCTTCCAAACTTAGAGATAATTACCCCGGCTTAAACTGTGCTGCCATTACGGTGCTCTAGCATTTCAAGGAATCATTGCCTGCCATGCAGGTACCCAATAACATCACATAATGTTGCTGAAATGACATGATTTCCCGGGTTTTCTCTCACTTGTTGTCATTTTCACCTCTGATAATTCCCCTTTTTACTTTGACCCGTGCTCCTTTTCTTTTCTAATAAGTGTCATTTCCCCCCTTTGGATATGTGCCCCCTTTCGTTTCACCATAAAATATGCTCAAATTTTAAAGCAACTGAGAGCAATTTTTTCATTAATTTTGCCTAAAGCTCGCTCGCTAAACGGCTCGATCGCATTAAAAGTTGATATAACTATGTTTCTTATTAAATTAAGTTTTAGTCTTTCATGATCAGATTGTGCTTTAAACCCCATTAGAATTGTTTTCCTCTTTATAAGATGTAAGACTATAAGACACTCCCTCGAAAATATATTCAGACCATCAAACCCAACAGTAAAGTATGATGCTTAAGCAGTATCTTGGACCATGTAAAGAGAGAGACAAACATTGAAATCATCTTTAATAATGTAATCACAATGTAGGGGTATATACTAATGTTTAAAGATGGTGTATTTTCACTGCAACGTTTCCCTTTGTATGTGCCTCTTTTACCAGAAAGTGCCCTTTTTAATTGGTGCCCCCCCCCAACACTTTGCAGAAGTTCGACAGCCCCTGGATAATAGGCGGGATGTTAACTTATCATCTCATTGCTCAAAGTGTGAAGAACATTAATGTAAGCAATCAAGTAATTTGTTAAAGTGGGTAGATCGACAGTATTCTAGCCTCATGAATAATCAATATAGGCTAACAAAAAATAGTACGACATAGCTAAATAGTAGTTTGTAGGCCTACATCTTAACTGTTATCGTCATTATCTGCATCCCCCTCTAAAAAAACAATTGCCCATTTTGCCACCTGTTGGTGATGCGGATTTTTTTTTTTGCCCCCCCCCCCCAAAAAAAAAAAAAAACGGCTTTTGCTCATTACACCACTGTGCGCGCTCAGGATATCTATGAGTATATACACGTAAATGATATAGGCGAACATTCATGATCTTCATTAAGATGAAATCAGTGACGCCGACGAAAGGATGTACCTTAGCGTCGTCATGATGAACCCAAGCTCATTGGTAAAGGAAACCGTCGTCTTTTTTAATGTGGGTAATAACATCAGCGCAGACTAGATGTTTCATTTATGCTATTTATGATCAGATGTCATGGACGCTGACCTACATGTGATACCATGATTACATTTAGGAAACATAACATCGACACCAAATTTATTGCCACTATGAATCACTGATCCTGGATTTGACTAAGTGATATGAGCCATTAATTTGTAGAAATCCAAGGACTAACTTTTTCGACATGCTTCCATTTTGTTTTCATGGATATTTTTTGAAGGGAGCAGATGAAAAACAAAAGAACTAAACGTGTCGCTATTAAACAGAGATGTAAAGCACATACTCCCTATGGAGTCCTCGTGATCAGCAGAATTCTACGTGAGATTTAAAATTAGTTTGTTCCCATTCTACCACCTAACAATCTATTAGCTTTGTCATGTAAGCCAAGCATTTCTGATAGCAAGAACAACATGAACTGTCGGTAACCTTTGAGGTTGGACAGTTTTTAAACCCAAGTGTTTGTCGACCGCAATCGAACAGGTAACACGACTCGGACGACGGTGGTGCTACTCGATCTCTTCTCCATCATCGATTTGGGGAAGACACTTGAAATGGATGACCATGAACCCATTACATCCTTGTTTTAGAATAAGGAATGATGCAAGCAATTCAAAACAATACTGCTTAAGCTAGATTATCGACTAATGCAATTACTTTAAATACGAAACGGAGCAATTAATAATTCATGTATTCGATCGTTGTCTTTATATAGGAAGCGTACATGACTGATAGTTTCCTGATCGAGAAGTGCACACGCGCCAGTGTTCAACTTATAAACTAAGAAACCCCGACACTAGAGGCAACAACTTAGATTTCATTTGTTGGAACCTGGTATTAGGCTAGACCTTGTCTTGTGTCGAGTTTCATTCTGTCTTCTTCTTTTATTTGTAGGGGGGTAAATATTGTTAAGGTCTTAATTTAGGTCGATGGTTTCTTGATAAATACTGTAAAAGTAATTGTGGGATAAATTAAATAATGATACCTTTCCTGATCCTTTGATGCCCTTCCAAAGACTGAAGTAGCAGATGATGTAGACTGCAAAAAGACAAAGAGCTAGTTGCCATACCACCTTTCCCAGATCGTCAATTCCAGCGCTCATATGAACTTGTAACACAGCTCGTCTGTTCAAACAATAGTATTATACTTTTCATTTTCAAAATAGAAGTACGTTTCGGGGGAGACGGCAATTCGCCTAAGGTAGGTGTGGATTAACTTTGTACCCGTAAAATCAAACAGATATCTTTTCCTTGAGAAGTCTTCCCTTTGGCTACACAATCTCCCTATTTTCAGTCAATCAATGAATCGACAAATTAAATATTTCCCCGAGTGGTGTTATTATATTCCCTCAAGCCCGTAGGCCGAGGTTGAAATATAACGGTAAATCTCAGGCAACTGGATGCTCTCTATAAATAAATACTCCATATTATTATATGTATTCAATTATATATACATAAAATTAATGACACACAAGTCTGTTCAGAAACAATTTCAACTAAATGATAAACATATAGGTTAGACCTATAGATACTGGCTATACTAAATGAAAATAAATAACATTTACTCGTAATATTCTGTTGCAGCAGAAACATTTTGGTTGACGATGTCAGTGACGTTGTTTCCGTATTCATTGACGACCATGATAGAGACATTGTAAGCCGGTCCGTGGCGTGGCTCAAAGCAACTATTAGTGTTCCATGAGTTAGTACATACACTCCATGGCAAGACCTTCTGGAAGGATGCGATCAGGTAGTAGATGGAATACGAGATGATCACGTTGTAGTAGAAGTCGACAAAGAAAGCGATACAGATCATCGCAAATCCCACACCTGCCAAGTTAGGACAATCATTCCATTTTCAATTTCATTTCATTTATGAACACAGCATAATATTAGCGTGATGGTAATCTTGAGAACGGAATTATTTCATTATACACAACAATGAATAATATAAGATAGTGAGAAGCAGACCGACAAATAGACAAACAGACAGCTATATGCATAAAGCTTGACATGCTCATTATCACTGATTATCAAATCTACAGGGTTGGTGTGTACTTTATTCGAATTGGAATTCTTTCGGGGAATTTCAGGGAATTTGGTTAGCTAAATACTTTTGGTGGGTTTTTTTTTAAAGCAAGAATGTAATGGGGTTGTAATATATAAAATAAACAATTTCGCGCCAATCAGAATAAAAGTTCGGGTTGTCATTCATTCAATGGTGAATTCTTATTAACTTATATCAGAAAATAACGAATTTATCACGCAATTTGCAGACTATTGTCATTTTGTTAGACACGGGAATCAAATACAAATCTTTGAAAGGATCATGATATGTAGACGACAGTATGTGTATTCGATGCAGCAAAGTGTTAGATTGTATGTGTATTATTACCTTTGAAAAGCGGGCTAACCTTGTCCCATACGGTGATAGGACCAGTTTGATTGTACTGGCCAAGGGCTAACTCCATGTAGAAGAGTGGAATCCCCATGAAGATCAACATGAAGAGGTAAGGTATCAGGAAAGCACCTGCAAAGGTATAAAGACGTGTATTTAGCTACAAATTTGTCTAACATTTCTATTTTTGACAAGTATGAACAGCGTCATTTTATCAAAGATACGTGCCGTACGGAGTGAATCTGAATCTGTTAATGTTATTGAAGGTGATAAAAAGCTATAGGAAAAGTGAAGGGGAAATGAATACATATTTATACCGAGACAGGTAGGGAGAGAGGTGAGGGTGATATAAAAGTTCGTGTTGAATTTGCACTACAAAATGATAATGAAAAGATGTCAAAAGAAAAGGTATGAATATAGAAGGTTTGTGTTTCTTTTCCACGCCCCTGCAGGTTATTACCTTCATCTAACCCTCCTCTTCGATTCTTTCTACAAGGGTTGTATCGTATGATTCGATATGTTGTACAGCTGTTCTCTTCAGGCTATAACAAACCTCCTGGTATACAAGATTGCCGATTAATAATGAGCGCTAATTTCAATCAAAATTACCACCTAAGGAAATGACAGACGTAGGATGAAAATAAGCCAACATAACGTTTGGTTTTTGAATAAGCTTACTCCTTGTCAAAATCTCGTCTTGTTCGGACATATTGAATATCAGGATAATATTTAAAGGAACAGATTAGGTTTGGAATGCTATAATTTTAAACAGATTGTGAGATAATGAAGTTTTAAACACTTCATTTGTAAAAGAATGGCTTGACCCAACGTTAGCTAGTTGGTCTATATTAAAGTCATCACTACAGTTCAATTTCCGTTCATCAGATTAAGCATACTTTAAGTAAATTTCCCGTATTTTTGATCGGTTGAATTCACAATCGGTGTATATTGTGAGGGACTTAATTGCAAGCATAGGCTACTTTCGTTTCGTTGTTTATAACATTTCATTATACTGTTGGGAATCAAATCAATTCCTAATGGACTAGAATTGCTCTAATGGATTCTTGAAAAGGTTGATCGAATTGACCTCAAAGACAAGATGGCACCGATATGCGTACCAGATATTCAAATCTTCTCCTTGGTCGATATTTTTATTGGAGAAAATTACAAAAATAATCAGCGGAGAATTTAGGTTCTCCGCTGATAGACAAAGTAGAGGTTTCGTGGTCTAGGCATAGTGGGTATATTGCCAGACGGTGGATCACATGGTTCGAGCCTTGACTCCCGTCTCGGTATTAACATCCTTTGGCAAGACTTTATTCCACATTTGACACACTCCAGCCGGGTGCACTACTTGGGTACCTGGTAGGAACTGAATCCTCAACAAAAGTTTGGAAACTCAAGTTTGATCGCTGACATCTCTCTTGTCATGGCATAATCATCACTTCGTTTAGTGTCTTTAGAAACTTTGTTGATTCCTTTTTAATGTGATACCATATTTTGCAGCCATTGAATAAGCAGTCCATCAGAAAAAGGGACAGAGTCAAAAGCGAAAAGTTGCAAAATTTTAAATAAAGATTTGTAAGCGTTTTTTAAATCTTTTTTTACAGCAATTTATTTATGTTAGATAAAGTGTATTGTAAGTTTGAGTAATAATATTATTGTTATAGTGCTTGCAAGTTTGTTCAACTTCATGCATTTAGTTTTTAGTGCAGTGTGAATGTTGTTCATTGGTAAGATCATCTGATAAAACTGCAGCCATACAATTTTCAAAGAAAGAAGAATACACAGCCGAACAAGAGCAGTGCATTTTCCATCTTTATACTGTTGACCTTTTACTTGTGTTAATGTAGTACACATTCCATGACTTACACAATCATAAGAAATGGGGTATCACTTTAAAAAGGAATAAACTCACATTCTAATGGCATTAAACCTACTAAATGCAGCGATGATTGTGCCATAAGAAGAGAGATATAATCGATCAAACTTGACTTTCAATTTTTTTTCGTGAGATGCTTTCAGTGCCTTAGGGCAACTGGGCTAGCCAGAATAATACAAATACATGAGGATTCTCTGGAAAGAATATACACGGAGTGGAAATTTAACTATTATTATTTTTATTAAAATCATAATAAATATTATTATTATTATCATTATTATTATTGTTATTATTATTAATATTATTATTATTATTATTATTATTATCATTATTATTATTATCATCATCATTAATATTTTAATCATCGTTATCAATATTTATTCAAGTTTGAGTGCCTGTTGTATTTATGATACAGGTCTACCGTGTATTCTTCGCCTTTGGATCATAACTTATAGGAAATTCTTAACATCACTGTGTATTTGTAAGTAACATTGAAGGTGATATGGCGATGAAGTTTATCCAAAAGAATAATAATGCAGCGCCATGATGAATATTGGTATCAAATATCTTCAAACGCTCATTGGCATTTTTATGGAGGTAGTTTGAATGATATTCAAAATAAAGTTTGAAGAGAGAATTCGACGATAACAAATTACTTAGTTTAGTGGTTACCAGATCGACAGATTACATGGCAAAGTTAATGACTAGTGATAGTACATCATTCTGGTTTTGTTCTGGTTTTGTTCGTCAGAGCTTCGTAGCTAAACAGGTCACTTGAGCCACTGAACACGTTACCGCAGGCAGCCACATCTCCATCACCTCTACATGCAACTTCCATGTGGTTAAATCCATTTCAATGTGAAAAGTCCCCCCCCCCCCCCCCCGAGGAAAATTTCGTTAAATGTTGAATCCAAATTTCCCTCCTAATGATATTTTTTTTAAATTCGGAATTGTCTTGGTTTTCCTTGATTAATTTAAAGGATTTATACAGATTAGTATGACATACATGTATGTAAGAATAAGGTACGAATATATTTCTACCTATCTATAAGGCAGGAGAAAAAAAACGTGAGATGCAATGAATATATCAAAAGAGATCAACACATTCTGGGATTCACGAAAGCAATTAAAAGAGAATGGTTGGTCAAGATGGCAGAGTTTGTAGAGAGAGAGGGGGGGCGAGAGTGGGAGGAAGAGAGAGAGAGAGAGAGGGGGGAGAGAGAGAGAGAGAGAGAGAAAGGGTATGATATTTACCTAACGAGAGGTGATGAGCAAGAATGAAGAAAGAAAGTGGCGAAAAAGTGGTCGGGAAAGAAAGAGGGAAAGAGAGGAAAAGGAAAAATTGCCAATGAATTCTACACTGCAATACCATCTGGCCATTACTTCACCGCAGGTTTACCTCGCTGTATCTGTCACGAACTCTGAAAATGTTTTTACATTCCCGGCTATTGATTGATAGAACAAGGGCCTAGCTTTATCGATTAGAGTATCAGTTTGAATTGTAGTGTCCATTATTTTGGATGAATTCAATCCACAATTCAAAGACACAGGTAGCCCCAATTTCATCGCTTTTAATCGAACCACTGTTAGGAGGAATAAGTAAGGTATTACAATAATCACAAATGTATTACTATTATCTCAAGAAGCTGATAATTCAAGTATATATTGTTCGAGAGAGATAATAGTACTGGGAGTTTAATTGGGAAGTTTACTTGGAAGGGTGTGAAAATATTAATTAATCTTAACCACTTTTAGTCGTTGCCTTTGGTTGTGTCTGCAAAGTAAAACAAAAATGTAAGAATGTTGTACTGATATAAAGTACAACAATCTGTCTTAAACTGTCAAATCGATCCTTTTCTTCATTTTCTCCCATATTCTATAGGGAATCCTGTAGCTTCGACGTCATATTTATTTATTTTTAAAGCAAGAAATATTGTTAGCATCACCGTTGTCGTCGTCTTTCTGGCTATTGTTGATTTCTTTGTCTCCTGGTGCAAGAGACATTTATATATACACACACCATTGATACACATTCGACAAAGGATGAAACTAATATTCAAACACGGCGAGAAGAAGTTAGTCGATTGGTATAACTACTCAAGCGAGATGATTTTCTTTCATTTTTTCTCATCAATTCTGCGGTGAAAATGACGTAGATAGCTAAGATATTGCATTATTCTACGAAAATAGAATTTAAGAATGCTGAGCAAAACGAGATGCGTGCAAAGCAAAAGATAAAGGACAGCAACAAAGGCCTACATTCTTAATTGTAAGACGTGTTAACTTTTACTAAACATTACAATCAATAATATCTGTTATTGCAATATGTATTACATTTTTTATATGGGTAATGTGTGAGTCTGTATTGGGCTACCCACTTCCCTGTTTCACGAAAATAGGATGTGGCACAGCACTTTATTGCGACGGATATTGAAATGCTTTCACTGTACATGAAGGTATTTCTATTATGTAAATATAAAAATTCATGACACTAAGCTGGAATGTGGGGTAAGGGATAAATACCGTTAGTCAATGATTATTGGTAGGAAGAATATTTTCACATATTATCTAAGTTAGATGTGGACATCTTATACAATATTGAGAGACTGAGCAAGTTTGTTGTATGATTTTTGGCTCAGAGTCACATGAGGTGGAATGTTAGATGTATCATTATAATCATGATTAAACATATGAGTTTTCTTTTTATTATTTCGTTAGAAGCTTGAAAAGTTACTGTATGAAATTATCTAACACACATTCTTCTATGGGATGTATTTGGAAGAACATTTTACATATCTCCATCTCTCAGTTTACATATATCGTCTACTTCTCCATTACTAATTTCAATATCCATGATCATGCACGTCATTCCTCCAAAGTTCGAAAGTTTTGTTTTAATTCAATTGATTCCATATTTAGTAATTGTACAGTAATTTGTTCTACATAGTTCGATCACTGGTTAGCGATAAGAGACTTCGATGGAAGCGTTTATAAGCACCGTTTTTTGTATTAGTAGTAGTATTATTATTCTCCACCCCGTTGCACAATATCTTCCTCTCTCTCTCTCTCTCTCAATCTTTCTCTCTCTCTCTCTTTCTTTCTTTCTCTCTATCCCCCATCTCTCTCTTTCTCTCTCTCTCTCTTCTCCCCTCGCTCTTTCTCTGCCGCTCTCTCAGTTCCACCACTTGTTTAACTGACTCCCAACCTTGCAGGTATAGCGTTCAATGAAATTCTTGTACTTTTCGTCTTTTCTATATTTTAACGGCTTGACTCGTTATCTTATTATCTTTTTCTCATTTTTCTATCTCTGTCTGAGTCCTTCTCCATATGTCTTCCTCTCACCCTTCTTTGACCGAGCACTCCCTCTCTCTCTCTCTCTCTCTCTCTGATCTCCATCTCAGTCTCACTATCCTCTTCTCCCTACCCATCTCTAATCCATGCCATCAAGTCCTTCCCAGGTTCCTGGCCGCCTGAGGCTCTTTTAATCAAACACAATCCCCTCGGCATAGGGTCGTCTTCTTCATCGATTTATGATGATCACGGAATTAATCGGCGTGCGGATTCGATGTGTTATCTCCTCTCAAATTGATGCACATTTTAATAACTCTGCCACCGAATACCCCCATCCTTGTTACTCTTCTCCTCTCTCCCTCCTAGATTTCTTGGCCCAGAGTTTGACGGGCGCATATTACTAAGGGTTGGTCGTGAAGACCGATTGGTCGCGCAAGCGGGTGAAACAATTAGACATCTTTAATAGTCAGGGATCTTCGAACAAGAGTAAATCGGAAACAGGTGATGCATTATTCATGAATTAAAGTTACATGTAGTCTTAAAACACGGATGGCATTTGACTTATCAAACTAAGGGTAAGCTGAACATGCCGAATGCCATACTGTAAGACATACTCCTTGTTCGCTTGACACCCAATCTAAATATTACCCAAGTTGCACATCCAGATATCATATTACTTTACATGATATCGTCTAAGAATGAATGTAACCAAAAAGGAGAACGAGAAAACGAACTGATTGCATCACGACATACCATAAAGTGATAAAGATGAAGACTCAAAGAACCCCGAAAAATACTTTTTATCTTTGTTAAAGATGAACACATTATCTAACCATACCCATTGCCGTTATGTTCTGTTTATATGGTGATAAAAGTCAAATCAATTATATCATAGTATCAGGGTTTTTTAATTTTATGGCATTAAGTCCAATCAGGCGGTCTTAGGGATAAAGAACGATACGATGTGCTGTGATTGACTTGGTTTCGAACCAGTTTCTCAGGTAATGATCATAAGAAGAAGATTATTCACATCAATAAAATGCGACATTGTGATACATACATGTATATCAAAATGAAAAGAGGCTTTTTCAGAGGAAGACAAATATTTAAAAAAAACTCCTATTAACAATCAAACTTACCGCCGCCATTTTTATAGCACATGTAGGGGAATCTCCACACGTTTGCGAGATCAACACAAAATCCAATGACAGAGAGTAAGAAGTCAATCTTCTTGGACCATGTCTCACGACCAGTACCATCTCCACGTCCAGCTATCTCATTCCCGGAATCCATGGTTACCTCCATAAGCTTTCCTTGGGTCGCTAAAAGAGCAAAACAAAAGTTCATATCTGTTAATATACTGTTTACTGATTAATAATTACAAAAACTCTTTTGGTCGTGTTATCTGAGAGAAATAATTGATAAAGAAAAGAGGCAACAGAGAAATTACCTAAATTGCAAGGTACAAATTTGAATTTGACGAAAATGTAATGAAAAAGTTTAGAGACCACCCCCCCCCCTCCCCACTCCCTTGCTTTCATTCACTATAAGCTCGACAAATGGTACACATCATTCAAGAAGTATATGAATAAGAAGATATAGTAGTAAAAGTAGATGAAAAGGGGGAAGAAGAACAAGAAAATGATGATGCTAGTCACTTAGTAACAATGATGACGAGGAGGAATAAAGAATACCCACAAATAGAAGAAGAAGATCAATGATGAATTAAGAACACAAAGGGTATATAGATGGCACGCAATCTCTCCCAATCTTCATTCTAAGTAAGGGAGAGAGAGAGAGAGAGAGAGAGAGAAAGAAAGAAACGGTAGGATAAAGGGAAATAATGGAAGATGAAGAAACGGTAGGATAGAAGGAAATAATGCAAGAGAAAGAAAGAAATAAAGACGAATAGACAAAGAAAGAAAGAAGCACAGCACAACACTTTTGATTTGACTGGAAGATCAAAATTATTTTACAAAGGTGCATTTCTGGTTCGACGTAGAGGAAATATTCATCAAACTTAACGATAAATCAGATTTAATTTCAGACAAATTTTGAATGTTCCCTGTAGACAATATCACAATCTTGGGAATGCCTCCTCCGCTGTCGTATATACCGGTATACAATACATGTCTACACAACAGAACGTGTATGAGATAAAACGACTTAACCCCTCAAAATCATCCCACTTTTTGCCCTTGGGCGCCATAATTTTGTGGAATCGACAACAAGCACAAATTGAAATCGAGGCAAGTACAGAAGAGGTTATGACCTACATCCATGAAATGCACGGAGCCTCAAGCCTACTGGCCCCCGTAACTCTTGGCTGCATGCACCTGTTGTGAAGTGGTCTCCCCGAGGAATATCCCCTGGTCCATTTTACATGTTTTAGTTATGCATTTTTAGGTAGAAGTTTTTAGTCGAGGTTCGGAGAGGGTAGTAGTTAAATCAAGTTCGCCACAATAAAGTAAGAGTGCTATTATTATTCACTATGATGATAAGTGTAAGTGACTGACTGAAGCCTGAATATGTTCTTGTTCAAAGCTTTTCGAAAACATTACTGTTTAAATAAAAAGTATATCAGGTAATAGTAGGCCTAAATCTTTGCTTTAAGTGGTTCATGGTAAATTGGAAAAATCCAAGCAGGCAACAGTTTCATACCGATAGCCTACGTGACTAGAGAAATTTGCCTCCTGAAGGAAAGATTTTATATTAAAGATGAAAAAAGGGTAATCGACGAAAAAGAAATAAAAATAGAAGTGTTGAGCGAGCAGGAGAGTAGTACATTTAATATACCACTCTTTAGTTTGTTGAGTAATTCTAGTCATCTGATTGGTCGAAATTGGAGTCGTGATTTAAGCCATGGCCGCCTACCTGTCAATAGTTTGCTTTTTTTTTTAAATGGCCGTTGCCCCGAGTAACGGGCCGCATAAATAAAATTTGCTGAGATCCCCATTGGTTTATGTGTAAAAAGTTTCTTTGTGTGAGCGCGGATACCTAACAGTGCAGTGTGTAAGCGATTCCCGAATGATCGTAACATTCAGGCGACTTTCCAGCGAATATTTACAGTCAGTGTCTCAGATTTTCTGTGATTTTTTTAACCAGTCTTTACTCAAGAAAAGGATATGGTAGGATGTTACGTCCCGGCGCGCCTCGGGGTCATAGCAGGATGTAACGTCCCCTTGAGCCTACAGAAACAGCGATGCCTCTCATAGCAGTCAATATATCGTTGTAACAAAAATATCACACGTATGCCAACCTGAAGTGAAAAACACGAAAACCTATTATTTCAAAATAGTCAAGAAAGAATTTAATTGCTCACCGAAAGGTAATATGTCCCATTTGCATAAATTAAATTAAAATAAATTCCAACGGCATTTGAAAGACAATACTAATTTAGAACTTCCCTTAAAGCGAAAGTGCTTGAAAATGGCTTTTAGTGGGAAATTAACGATTATTAGTTGTCGAATCGACTTTAGTGATTGCAATCACCTTAGTAAAACTCTGATTTTCAGACCCTTTTACCGAATGGTCGTACGTTTTGTGCTGCACCAAGTTTAATTTTGGCCATTACAAGTATTAGGTTATTGATGGAGGCAAGTGCTCATGTACCGGTTTAAAGCTCATTTTATGTATGTTATTACCAAAGAAAAAAAAGATTTCAGTCAATAGTGTCCGACAGTGGAGTCTAGAAGGTGAACGGGTTTCCTTTCATAATTTGAATACTAGGACACTGATAATGTTTAGATTTCACAGATATAGGACATACTGAACATATTCATAAGTCCTGCAAAGTTCTACAGGATTTGATGCTGGCTGCAAAAGGGCTATTATCTTTAAACATTAAATGTTGATGACATAGTCATGTCAGGACACATAGTGTACAAAGCCTGTTCTTCCATAATCGTCTTTTACTGATCAGAATACATCAATTTCCTGAATACGTCAATTTCCTAGGCCCTTTCACTACTCTTACCTTCAGAACAGATACCAATTCGAGTCAAGTTTGGAATTTATACACTTACAGAAATGTGGCTTTTGCTCACTCGACTGTAAAATATCGTTACTTTTGATGTCATTAGATGAATGAGACCGCAACCTTTTTACAGGTAAGAAGAGTTGCTGAGAATATTTTGAAGAATATTTAAATCATTTAGGCCTATTTGGAAGACATTTCCAACACTACAGTTTTGACATGCACTGTGTAAAGAAATGTGGAGAAATTAAGAAATACAATGGATATCAATTATGATAAAAAGAGAAAGAAGGCAACGAAATGCATAATAGAATAAAAAGTGAAAAGAACAAAGAAAGTGGAAAAAATCAAACGCGTAAAGATAGCAACGAAAATAAAAAAACGTAGGGTAAAATGATGAAGAGATGGAAATTATGGATCATGTTCATTATGCACCTAACCCCGGAAAGTTGTCTAACGTCCCTCGAGTTCGTCTAGCTCGGTCTCAGGGCTGACATTTGATAACAATTTTGAATACGATCTGTGTAATCATAACCCTAACCCATTATAATAATAATAATAATAGTTCAGTTCTTGTAAAACGCATAATACGTCATGAAATAACATCTCTGTGCGCTTCCAAAGAGCTTTGGACTATACCAGTAATTGGGGGAACATTTAAGAAATTAGGAAGTGTTCCAGGTGTCCATTGGCATTATGTCCATGCTTTGGGGTAAATGATGTTAGTACAGAAGAGGCTTGTTAGTACCCCCTGGATCTTATTGGTATAGATTTGGGACGTTTTGTGTATTAAAGGCTTTGATTGTCTCGATATAGGCCAAATACCCATACTTAGGTTCATTCTGAATGTGTTGTTTGAGTACAGTAGGTAACATTATCATTCGGGGACAGGAAAACTTGAGTCGTTGTGGCTTACATATAAAATGTAGGCTGCGATGTAGACAGGTGAGAACATAGAAACGGTTATTGCACCCCACTCACCCTCGAAACAGAAACTACGTTCAGTGCCTGAGGCTGTCGCGGTCCCAAACTGAACGTAGCATTGAGTAGGGTGCATCACCGCAATGCGCGCGTAATCTGACACGGTAAACCAACCTCAGTGCAGGGTCCTACATCCTTAACCCGCCCTTGCGGCTACCGTACAATTCTTGTTCCGCCTCTGGTTTCCATCTTCAATCGTACAAGAGTAACCCAAGAACACGTTCTCTTGCTGAATTAAGCGACGGTTTCCGTGTCCACTGTACCAACTTTCTACACACAAATAATCCGGTTCAATACACTTGGTTTGGTTTCAGACATGGCGCCTATAATTACTTTTTTTTTCCTCACTAAGGATTGTTTATTTTGCTCTGCGGTTCTGTTTTGTGGCGACGTTTTCAGCAACTAGTTCATAGTTAGCCACACGTCGATATGTGCTTTAATTCTTCAGGGTAGTTGTGTATCGTATACTTTTCATTGGAAAGATTTCGGCTTTTTTAATAGAAAAGCCCTAATTCTTTAAAACCCATGGTGACACAATGCAGGCTGCAAACCTATACGACATTGTAAATCAATTATTATCAACAGCTATATGTTTGCCTTTGCATACGAGTTGACCGTCATTTAACATTGATTGCGTTAGTCACTGTACTAATCAAGATTGAATGAATGCAATAAGCCAATTATTCGACGTAAGATTCAGTCTGTTCACTTTGCATTTACATGTACTTTGTGTTCGATGTCATTCTAACTTGGCACGTCAACTAGACGTCGCGAGAAACTGACGCAGTTCTGCGTGAACTAGACGTCGCGAGAAGCTGACGCAGTTCTGCGTCAACTAGACGTCGCGAGAAACTGACGCACTTTTGCGTCAACTAGACGTCGCGAGAAACTGACCCAGTTCTGCGTGAACTAGACTAATCAAGATTGAATGAATGCACTAAGCCAACCATTCAACGTAAGATTCAGTCTGTTCACTTTGCATTAACATGTACTTTGTGTTCGATGTCATTCTCACTTGGATCGTCAACTAGACGTCGCGATAAACTGACGCAGTTCTGCGTCAACTAGACGTCGCGAGAAACTGACCCAGTTCTGCGAGAACTAGACGTCGCGAGAAGCTGACGCAATTCTGCTTCAAACGAACGGCGCCTCGTGTGCAATGAACACATTCAGATCACTCCAAAATCTTTATAGGCGTGTGCTTATATCAACTACTTCAACTATTGATAGTGAGAGTATAAACTAAAATAAGTTTTAGAAATCCTAGCGCTTGCGCGTTGCGTTCAAACAGGTCATGAAAAATGGCACCTCTACCCCCCCCCCCCCCCCCCCTCCATAATTTGAACCGGATTTACATATAATCGA